GTATCAAAAAGACTGGAAACAATTGCAAGCAGTGGAGAAAAAGAAACTCTTGTACCCTGCTGGGCGGGCTATAAATTGGTGCAGCTTCTATGGAAAAGAGTATGGAGATTCCTTAAAAATTGAAATAGAAATACAATGTGATCCAATTATATCACACTTGGGAATTTATCCAGTGGATATGAAAACACTAACTGGAAAAGATCTCTGCACCCCTATGTTCACAGCAGCATTATTCACAACAAGCGTGATATAAAAATAAGCTTAATGCCCATAGAGGGAAGACTGGATAAAGATGTTGTGGTATGTTTACTTAATGGAATACTACTCAGCTATTAAAAAGAAATCTTTTTTGTCTTTTGTGATAACATGGATAGAACTTGAGGTGGTGATGCTACAAGAAGAAAGTCAAAAAGTAAAAGACAATTATCAGGTGCTTTTTCTTGTATGTGGAATGTAAATAGGCAAAGCAAATGATCTAACAAATCAAAATAAGAACAACTCTTAGACTCCTTGAAAAGCACGGTTACTAGGGTGATAGGACAGGGGAAAGAGGTCTGTCTCATTGTGGAAACGGCACTAGAATTTTGGTGGCGGAATGAGGTAAGGCTTACACACATACCAAGTTGTGAAGCTTGACTCCCCCAAACATGAGGATTTATCAATACATAGTATTGTAAATCAATCAAATTCTACTAATAAGAATGTTGAGGTTTAAAAAACAAAAAGATGACCCTGGCACAGTTGGAGAATGTACCATGGGGACAAGAGAAGAAGCTATCAACCTGTTAGGAAGTGTTGGTTTGGCCCAGGGGACACTGGCAGGGTGGACTGAGCACATCCCAGGGCCATGTGCACTGCCAGTCTGAACTGCAGGGGTCTCCAGACCCTTCTGCTCTCCACGGAAACAGCTTCTGATTCCTGTCACCATGGCAGCTGGGCTTCATCTGCTCTGATTGGTGGCTGAGGTGACATCATACTATGAAGTGACTGATCTCCACAAGAACTGGTTACCATGGTGCCAAGTGTGCAAACAAGAATCCCCATTCTTCTCGGGTCCAGGGCCCTTGACTAGCTCTACTCCAAAGGGAAACGGGGGAGGGAGACGATCAGCCCTGGAGCCAGGAGACCCAGCTGCCAGGCAGTTGCTGAGTCACTGTGCCTCAGACTTGGCCAGATCAGGACTATCAGAGCCTATTGTTTATTGGGGGAAGGGAGAGTTTGCCTCATGGGGTGGGGGGGAATCCAGCATGTGTACACACAAATTGCAAATCCCACATTTCCTCCACGATAAAGCTTCTTTGACCTGTTTCCTTCCCTGAGCAAAATTGTGTAACTGATGAGGCAGTCCTCTCCCCCAACTCCTGCATTGCCATCCAGAGGGGCAGTTCTAGAACAATCTACTGCGAGATTTTTAAAGTGAATTTTTGTCAAAGCTCTGTTGACTTGTCTGGATGCAAAACAGGCAGGCTGCCAGCAGAGCCTCTGATGGGAACTGTGTAGGGCCAGAACAGAGGTGCCTGGAATATACCCTTGGTGCAGATTTCTCATCCCTTTCTCCTTCCAGACATCATTCAGAGAGTGAATGCGAGGCAGGGCAGGACTACAGCTGAACTGCAATTTGTCCCCCCACCCCTGCAATGCTGTATGGTGCTCTTTCTCCTCTTGGGAAAGGAAGTTCCTCCCTTTGAACCCCGGGTGCAATGCTCCTGAGACCCTGCTTGGTCTTCCGAGTGTGTTACCCTCAGTGTTAGGGCCTTCTTGAATGAAAAGCAAAAAGAAGTGCAGTACCAATGCATGTGTCACTTCCCTGGTGGTTTGAAATCTGCAGGGGAAGGAGAAGCACCCCACCTCTGCTCAACCCGGCCCAAACCAATGTGTCCCTTTTTCCTGTAACATTAAACTTCTCAAAGCAGGTTCACATTCATTTGCTCCTAGACCTCAAATTATTTCTGTAAATAGCTTAAATATATATGTATAACACAGATTAATGGTATCCAGAAAAATCTCCAGCTCCTGGAGTGGCAAAAGAGCTGGGTCAGACCCTCCTACTATTACTGTGTAATCCAGACAAAAAAAACAAACACAATTATAGGAAAGCATGGAGACCAAAGAAAAGCTAGAAGGAATGTAATGCTTGCAAAAAGCTAAGCCTGCTGGGTAAGCTGCACGTTTATCAGGCTTTTCCTCTGAGGAAACTTCTTAGTCCCTGGCAGCACATGGAGCAGCAGAGCTCAGGCTGAAAGTGGCATCTTAGTGGCTGAGAAAGCAGAGGTTAGAAGACAGAAACTCCAGCTGGAAATTGAGCCAGAAACCCAGGACATGAGTGAGCTCAAAAAAAGGGGAACCCAAATCCACATACAAATTACCCTCAAATCCTTAGCTGTCTGCAACATGGCAAAGATGCAGGGTGAGATTTCACAGAGTCTAGTCGAAAAGTTAAATATCTGGTCTGCTGACAATGACCTCTCATACTTTTTGTTTAAAAATGACTCTTTCTCGGGCCTCCCCAGTGGCACAGCGGTTGAGCGCTGGGTTGTGAGGCTGCCCGTGGCCCCGCGGCGCCGGTTCAATACCCAGCCGCGGGATGACAGTCCCACATGGCCCGCAGACCTCTCCTGCCGCCTGCTGCTCCCCTCAGCAGTGAACTTTGGTCCTTCTGCTTGTTCTGCTCCCTGCTCTGGCTCTGGTGAGTTCTCTGGCCACCCCGCCACCCCCCCCACGCTTCTGACTGTGCCCAGTGCTTGTATAAATAAATAAATAAATCTTTAAAAAAAAAATCTCTTTCTCCAACTTAAATGGAGATGCCTAAATCAAGAAGATGTGTTCAATAGACACAATGTGTTACTACTCAGAGTAGTAGACCTTTTTAAAACAAGGGAGAAATAGAGATTTTTATAATTTAATTTTTTAAATGACATAACATTGCATTATAATATTACATAAGTTTCAGGTGTGCATCTTTGAAAATCAACGAGTATACATATAACATTAAGTTTACCACTAAAAGTCCAATTCTGTCCCTCACCAGACCATGTCCCCTTTGTTCCAATTTACACACGCCCTGTCCTCCCCCTCCTGGTAACTGCTAATTGATTTTATAGTACAAATGTTTAATTTTGTTTTATTTAGTTCATCTGTTTTCTCTATAGACCACACATGAGTGAAATCATGTGGGGTTTCTCTGTCAGACTTAGAGAAATAGAGACATTTTTAAACAAACAAAAAGCATGGAAAGTCATTGTCAGGAGACCCGCACAAAAATGCCAAAGGAGCTCTTCAAACCAAAAATGATCCCAGATCAAAACTGGAATCTGAAAGAAGAAATAAAAAGCATACACCACAACTAGGAAATGTGTGAGTAGATATGACTTATTTTTCTTTTTTCTTTTTTTTAAGATTTATTTATTTATGCATACAAGAGCTGGGGTACAGGCCAGAGATGCAGGGGTTGAGAGGATTCGCCAGAGACAGAGTCGGGAGCAGAACAGGCAGACTGACTGAAATACACTGCTGAGGGGAGCAGCGGGGGAGACGGGAGAGGTCTGCTGCACCATGTGGGTAGCTCCCTGGCCGGGGATTGAACTCCTGCTGCAGTGGCTGGTGATAGCTTCATAGGTTGCTTCTTAACCCCTTGTGCCACCAGGGAGGGCCCCGGCACAATCCTTTTTAACATGTACAATAACATGTGCCCAGTTTCCAAGAATTCAGAAAAGCATCTCTGTAGGGGTCATTATTCAGCTTTTGACAGATCTCATGATGGTATTATGGTTATGTAGGAAACTATCATTGTTACATAAAAGGGGACAGTATCATATTCCCTGCCCCGCTTGATGGACAGAGCTGAGTGGTGGGTTGAGCGAGAGAGAGAAAGGATGAGAGCTCTTGCTTCTGCAGGTTGACCTGCACCCTGGAAGGAGACCTGGAGAGGAGCACATGGAGAGACACTAGAGAGATGCGGGAAGCCTAATAATGGCTGTCATTATCTTGATTTGTACTTTGATTTTGCTCCTTTTGTCCCAACTTTCTGGGACCTGCTTCAAAAGCCCTTTCCTATGGTTCCCGGCCAGAAGGTGCTTAGACTTGAGGCAAATTTTCAGACCTCAGTGGCCCCACTTTAGGCCAGCCTTGTTTGGCGGGCATTTGCCCGTGAGGGGATGGCTAACTTGGGTGATTTATTGGGGAAAATATCCTTTCTTCTCTTCTCTCTCAATGCACGCTAATTCTATTAAAGTTCTTTCACATTAAGAGAACTTGCCTTTATGTGCATGGATGGCTGGATCTCTTTAAAGTATGCAAATTTGGGGGTCCCTGTTTACCCCTTGGTCATGCACTAAAATCATTACTTCTAATGCATTTTATATTATTTAGGAGTGAAATGTCATGCATTTTATATTATTTAGGAGTGAAATGTTATGATGTCTGTAAATTATTTTTACACGATTTCACCAAGAAAAAGAAGTTGTGACAAAAAGTAATTTAGTCTAGCTGGTAGGCATATGCATGGTTATTAGATTCTTCTTTTTTAACGTTTGAAAGTTTTCAAAATGGGTGTTTTAAAGTTAATGAAAAAAATAATTAAATGCCAGCCTAGGATTTAGAAAGCTCACACTACCCTGTACCTAAACAAGGGTGGAATTAAGAAATAAGCTCATTTGTAAGACAGTTACTTTTTGCAAGTTTCATGAAAAAGAGTACAGTGGTTTGAACCAAGGTGAGGGCAGTGGATATGGATAGAAGTGGATGGATGTGCAATGCATTTTGCAGGTCGATCCCACAATGTAAGGTTTTCAGGTGGGTGAGGGTAAAGAGCATCAAGATAACAAAAATAGACTCAATTGATTGCCTGCAGTTCATATCTAATCCTCACCACAAACCTTTGATGTAGGTACAATTCACACCCACATTTTACACGCAATCCTGTTCTCCAACCTTGGGATTGGGAGTGGACAAGATAGTTCTTGGCACTAAGTTTACATAAGAAAAGGAGCGGGCGCTCGGTGATGGTGGGGTGCCTAGGGGGTGCTAAGGAGAAAGGAGGAGTTGGGGTAGGCGTCTGCGAGAGCTGGGTCCGCCCGCGATTGGCGGAGAGGCCACGAAGCGTTGTGAGGATTCAGCCCCCGGCGGGTAGGACGCACCAGCCCCGCCCCAGCCCTCGGGCCGCGTCTCTACGGCCCCCCACGCCGGACTTAGGCGGGAGCGAGCGCGCCGGGGCCGGGAGGATGCAGCGCCCGCTGTGGCTTGGGGGATCCGAGGGGCTCCGGTTGTTTCTCTGCTTCCTGCTGCTGATCAGTCGCCCAGGGGACTGCAGCGACATTAGTGGCCACGGTCAGGAGGAAACCGGGGGGTGGGGGGGGGTGGTGCGGGCCGAGCGAGGACGGTCCTGAAAGAAATGGGTTGGGGGTTCACGGTTAGCAATGAGATGCAGCCTTGGGCTGAGGCTGAGGATGCACGATCTGGACCTAAGAGCAGCGGGCTCGGGAGAAGATTGGAGATTCGGCAGGAGGATGAGAAAACCAACGGACGGAGGGAGGTCGCGGGAGCAAGAGGGGCTGAGGCAGGCAAGAGATGGCGCGGGTAGGATAGGAGAGTAGGGTGTCTGCACAGGAGCAGAACCGCGGGTCCTGGATCCTGGTTCTGGAGAAAGGTCTGGGCCGGGCGTTCTTCATAAGCTCTCAGAGCCTGGTGGCTGCGATACGATTTCCGATAAGAAGGGGAAGATGAGGCTGGGGTAAAAGGACGGAGCAGGAAAGGAAGGGCCCCCCCACACCCCAAGCCAGTGGAGGAGACCCGCGCTGACTCAGGGCTGAGCAGTCAGGGACGCAATGCGCAGCCTCAGGAGTGCAGCGAGAGGCGGACGCAGGGAAGAGGGTGCAAACTCCTAGGAGACGCCTACTCTCCCCTCCGGATTTAGAGGCCAAAGCAGAGGATTAGCGAAGGGCTGGGGGAGGCAGGGAGGGGCGTGAGGTGGGAGGGGATAGAGTGGCAAGGCTCATGGAGGCGCCTGGGTTTTTATCGCCCAGAGAGCCCGCGATCCAGGCTCAGGCTGCCTGTCAGCACCACGGACAGCGGCAGGCCCGCCGTGGGTCTGGTCCAGGACGTCCACTTCGCCACCTTTCCACTTGGAGCGCTGCTTCAGAGAAAGATCTCTTCCTGAGGCTCTTTTCCTTCTCTATAGGGTGCTGGCAGTGCTAACTTTTCTCCAAAGCCAGAAAATTGATAACAGGGTGAATTTAAATGGGGAGAATTTCCTTTTCTTAAAACCGGTTGGTTTACAACGATGCATGGTAATTTCACCATAGAAAAGTACCCTGAACTCTCTTCCAACCCTACCTCACCTACTATCCCATTGGAATAAGGGAAGGTGTGCAGAGCATTAGGTATTTTCCTCACCCAATTCCTACCCTTACCCCGGCTTCCCAAACACTCAAAGACCCACTACACACCAATACCAGACTCCAGGCCTACGCTTCCAATCTCCCCAGGCTGCAGAGGCTTTCCTGAGATGCAGTTCACGTGCTTCCCCCTCCCCCACCTGTTCACCTGCTTATGTGTGCCGTTTTCTGCATCTCTGATTAACTGAACCTCCACAGGCCACTCTTTGTAAGCTTTCTTCCTAACTAGAAATCAGTGCCTGAGTTGAATGAGGTGCAGAGGCTGAAGAACAGGGCAAATGGGGGAGAGGAAAAAATGAAAAGGAGGGGGCTTGGTGAGGGGAATAGAGACCAGGGAATTCAGTGGCAATAGTGGAAGGAAGCTACTTTCTTCAACTGGAATTTGGAAGGTTATAACCAAGCTCCATGCTGACACTGCTATTTTGCCCTTAGAAGGTCAGGGCCAAGTGGGAGTGGGGCAGCTCTGGCCCCTCCAAGGATTTACCAGCCCACTCTTCCGGCATTTGCGAGTTGTACTCCAGCAGATTGTGCCCCAAGGTGAGTACAAGCTGAAGAGAGGCTAGGGTCTCCTGCTGAGGACTGGGAGGTGGGAGGGCCTGAGGAGGGACCATTTGATCTGGGACTTTCTTCCTCAAGATATCTACTAGAGGGGCCTCCAGCGGGTGGCACAGAGGGTGGTGCAGCATGTTGAGCGCATCTCTGTGAAGCTGTCCGCAGCCTCTGCAGCATGGGTTCGATTCCTGGCCAACCAGGGAGATACCCACATGGTGTGGCCGACCTCTTCTGTCGCGCCTGCTGCTCCCCTCAGCAGTGTATTTCAGTCAACCTGTCTCTGGTTTACTCTGTTGACTCTGGTTGATTTCAGTCAACTCTGTCTCTGGTGAATCCTCTCACACTCCCACGCCTCTGGCCTGTACCCCAGCTCTTGTATAAAAATAAATACGTCTCTTTAAAAAAAGATATCTACTAGAAACTTTCCTGTTATATTCACCCCAGGGAGAAGGAGATGAGACCAAAGGGAGAGGCAGAGTTTCAGGGGTGGGCTGTTTGCCCTTGAACACTCTGAAAAACCCCAGCAGAGGCTTCAAGAAGATGCCCCTGGAAGAGACCAGCATTCAACTCCTTGGGTCTAGCCACAAACCCTGGCATTATCTGAGTTTTTCCAGAACCAGGAAGCCTTAAGTTCTCGGCAGGAGAAAATATACACCTCTCAGTAGGTCAGCCTCTCAGTAGGAAGCAAAACAAAATATATAACAAATAGAGGGGAGAAATGAAAGGCAATGGAAAATCCCTTGGAGAAAGATGGCTGGCCATTTCCTAGATTTATTTTTTTTTAGATTTATTTATTTATTTATTTATTTATTTATACAAGCACTGGATAAAGTCAGAAGCATGTGAGGGTGAGAGAATTCACCAGAGCCAGAGCGGGGAACAGAACAGGCAGACTGATGAAATACACTGCTGAGGGGAGCAGCGGGCGAGACAGGAGAGGTCTGTGTGCCATGTGGGGACACTCGCCTGTGGCCGGGGATCGAACCGGCGCTGCAGAGGCTGCGGGCAGCTTCTCAACCCAGCACCCAACCACTGCGCTACCAGGGGAGGCCCTCTTAGAGCAGTTTTATGAATGGAGAGATCGATAGGAAATCTGCCTTGAGTTAATATTACAAGTGTTATGACTGATATCTAATGTGTGTATAATGCCTTAGCACAGTGGTTCTCAAAGTGCATCCCTGGACCATCAGCATCAGTGGGGAACTTGTTAGAAATGCTAATTCTTGAGTTTCACCCAGACCTACTGAATCAGAAATTCTAGGGGTGGGGAACAGCAGCAATCCGTGCTTTAACAAGGCTTTCTCCCAAACACCACTGTCTGGGAGTCACTGTCTTTGAGTTTCTAAGCATTCTTTATATCCCTACGCTCATTTAATCCTGCAATAATATCAATGGACTCAGCGAAGAGAATGTAATTCTGATGCTAGTTGAATGGTTATTTCATGCCAACCATGGTGTTAAGCATATATACCATCTCATTTAATTATCACCACAAATTATGATCTTTTCTCTAGTTGGAGAATTGGGGGAGTGTTGATCTCACTCTGGTCCCTACAATGGGTCAGAGTGTCCCAGGAGCCAATGCACTGAGCCCTTTTGCTCTGCAGGTTTGTTCTGGAAGGATGACATCACCCAGAATGTGATGACCCAGGAGATGGAGCACATCAGGAGACTCCACCCCCAAGATCCATGTCTGAGGGATGGGCAGGCAGCCTTTCCCACCAAAACCACTGGAGTGAGGTGTGTGAGGCCTGTGGTAAGGCCATGCTTCCTGATGGACAGATGGTGTAGGGCTGGGATGGGTATTAATATTGCAGATAAGAATTTTCAGGTACACTAAGAGAATGATTTTGAGGTCCTGTCTGAGATCTGCAGGAAGCAATTCCATGACACTTTAGTGATGTTTGCAAAGGGAGAGTGAGCGGGTGTTAGCTAGCTGGGGTCCTGCTAATCATCTCTGTCTTTTCCAGGGGCAAGCATGAGGAGAAACTTCGACTCCTATTCCCCAAGGTTAGAATGCGTTTTCTCAAGAATTTCAAATCCCTGTCTTTAAGTCCCATCTCTTTCCCTGTGGGTGCTGTCACTCTTTGCTGCCTCCTTCCTGACTCCTGACTTCCTTTCTCACAGAGCCCAGTGTCCAAGGTGAACAGGGACCAGTGCTTTAGCTCCAAAGTGGTTTCAAATGCCCTGAAACGAGAGGTGGCCAAGCCTGTCAAGGTGAGGGACTCAATTTTTCTGAGGTTGGAATCACATGTTTAAGTGAGGGGGACAGGTGTGAAGGAGGGAGTGGGTATTGAAGTGTCAATGGATAAAGGTATACCCACTTTTCTGATGCTCGCACAGACGCCCTGTGGGTATCCATGAGAGAGTGGGGTATGATGCAGGTGCTGAGAGCCACTAAGGATGAAATGAGCGATAAGATCATGCAGGGGTATTTGGATTTAAAATAGGCATTGAAAACTGCAGTTTTTCAAAATTAAATAAAAGATCCTCCTTTTCTTCATACACTCCCTTCTGTGCATCAAATGATATCACAGCTTCTTGGATAAATGAAAGGGGCAGCCCAGATGCCTTCACATTCAGTGCCCCTCCCCCATGCACCCCTTGCTCTATTCTGTGTCCTGGAGAAGTCACCTGGGTAAGACTCAGAGGCATTCAGCATGTTTGAACTCTTCAGAATCCAGATTGAAAATCACCCATCTAACACTCTATCTTTATGGATGAGAAACTGTGGCCCAGGCTGGTCAAGGGGCTTGTTTACTGGTTAAGGCTGCAGAGCACATTCATGAACCAAGATGGCCCAGCTCGCATGAGTCCCAGCCCTTTCCTGTGCACAGCCCTACCCTTCTAGAGCTGCAGCAAGCCCTGCCTACCCAGGACTGGGCCACCCCAAACAACAGACTCCTCCATATTGACAAGTGTTTGGAGACTAAGATCTAAGTTACAAGAAAATGGCAACCAGAAGAAGGTACAAAGGAAAGACACCCCAGGCAGAAGGCACTGCCGTGACAAAGGCTGTAACACAAGGAGGAGGAGCCTACAATGTTAGAGGAGCCTACAGAAAAGTCAGTGGGAGAAGATATGGTGGGAGAAGCAGGCCCAGGACTGACCAAACAGAGTCTTATAGATCATGGGCAAAGGTTTGGATTTTAAGCGCAGCTGCAGGTAAACTGAGAATATTTGAGGGAGGGAATGTCATCATGTGATCAACAATTTTCAAAGGCCACTCTAGTGACCTGGGGAAGGGATTATGCAGAGAGCAAGAATGAAAACAGGCTTGCAGAGAGCCAGTCATCCTGGTCCTGGGGAGATGGAGGGGCCTGCACAGCAGAGCTAACACCTCCATCCACAGGCAGGCTGCATCTTGGGGGGGCCTCTAGCCCCTTGTGCTTACCAAGGAAGCTGGTCCTCACCCCCATGAGGTAGTAACTGGCATTCCTAAGCCTGGGTTGGTTGTTGGGTCAAAGCAGTCATCCTGGAGTAACAACCCCCCTGTGGGGGTCTGGCTGGGAGCTGCAATTCTCCAGCCTGGAGCCCAAGTCTAAGGGAAACTCATGGGGTGGCTGCTAGAGTATGCAGCCAAGGGGATGGGCACGCAGTTGTGAGCTTACTGGAACAGACAGGAATTGAAGTATTTGGGGGAAGGAGAATAGGAAAGGGAGGCATCACCTTCCTACATACTGATTACAACCCATTGTTTCTTCTTGTTTTAGGGCTTCTTTAAGCCTCCCCCCACGGCGGGCCGCAACCTCGTAGCTGATTGAGACATGTGCAAAGCCTCTCTGCCCCCACGCCCTCCCCGCTCCCCTCCAGAGGGGCGGTTCTAGCATGACCCCAATCTGAATCATTAAAGTAGACATTCATGCAGACTCTTTCTGTGACTCTTCTTGAGGAAATGGTGGGGTTTGGACCTGGCCAGAGTGTCTAGGAAGTGGAAGAGCGGGGACTGGGATAGGTGTGGGGGTGAAGAGAGCCCAGACCCTGGGTGCTGATGGAAGACTGGGCTCTGTCTTGTTTTGCTTCCAGTGACCATTCCTGAAGGGGTGAAAATTTGGGTGGGGCTGCAGCTGAAAAGGCTGCTTTCTCCACCCACACCCAGCAATGCCATGTGGTCCAGGTGCCCATCCTTCCATGTCAGGCCTGGTCCCTGCTGTTCTGTGAAGGTTCCTGCCTCCAGCATTAAGGCCCTTGCCAGGGTGTCACCCATCCTGCTCCTAGGAATCCACAGAGAAGTGCTGCAGTCAACATGTACATATTTGCATGTTTTAAAAATATTTTTATTTTTATTTTTATTTATTTGTGCATATAAGAACTGGGGGACAGGCCAGAGGTGCAGGGGTGAGAGGATTAACCAGAGACAGTGGGGAGCAGAAAAGGCAGATGTACTGAAATCTACTGCTGAGGGGAGCAGCGGGCGAGTCAGGAGGGGTCTGCTGTGCCATGTGGGTAGCTCCCTGGCCAGGATCAAACTAGTATGCCAGCCACAGTGGCTGGTGATAGCTTGATAATGCTGAGACTTTAACCCTGAGACACCAGGGGGCCCCCATATTTACATGTTGATGGCTCTTGCTAGTTTGCTCCTGGTAGCTGAGATCTTACAAGGAATCAGGGAACCTGACCACCGAAGCTCAGCCCAACCAGACACCAGAATGTTCTATTTGCAAAGCTTTCTGCTTCTCCAAGGGGACTCAAAGATGTAAGCAAATGGGCATGAATCAAGCTTTAGTTGTTCTAAGGAGTGACTTTTTGGATTTGGCTACACATCTCACCCGTGTAGCAGCCACCCAGAGTAAGTACGTGACTAATCCTAGATCACACAGATAGTCATGCTGCTGTTCTCACCCTCTCCACCTCTCTGTGTTGTGTTCAGGGGTGTAGCTAAACCCCACACAAGGTCAGCCATACTCATGGATACTTAGTTCTCATTGACTCAGGCACTCCCTGCCCCCCAGCCACATCTCCCTCCTTCCTTTCCCAGTCATGCTCAAGCCTGTCTGGAGCCCTGTGCTCTGCTGTGCTCAGCCTCTATATTTGGTTCTTGCCATTAAAGACCTCAATGAGCCACTAGGGAAGTAAGCCATATGCACCTAGGTTTATTCAGCAGGAATGTGCAGGGGTTGGAAGCAGCAGGTGGCCTGCCCCATGTTCTGGGCAGTTCCTGCAGCACTGCTTCCCACCTCAAGCCCCAGGACTCACTGCTCTTTGGACTCGCTGCTCTTTGGACTCGCTGCTCTTTGTCTAGAATACCAGGAGAACTCACCTGCCTATTCTCCAGATGGCCCTGAAGGACCTGGGGCCACTCCCAACCCATTAAGGACTGAATTTAGTGCAAAAATACCCAGATACCTCTAGTCCTTGGAGGACAACTCTCAGGAATATACAGTGTGATTGCTTAACAGGCCCCAGTGAGAAGCAGCTCAGTCAGCCACTGCGGTACCCTGATTAAAAATACAATATTGCTGACTTTTCTCCCTTCTTCAACTCACCCAATCCCTCATCTGTGACTTCGGGGATCATCTTCCACACACACTACCTGCTCCCAAGTTCTTGTCTTAATCTGCTTTTAGGTCAACTCAAACTGAGCCGGCTATGCTCTGGACAATCTTATAGGTCTGGGGGTAGCGGGTAGTTGTAACTAAGAAATATGTTCACTGCCATGGCATATGTTATAAATCATTTACTAACCCTCTGTTTACAGGGAAAAGTCCAAGTAATTTATCTGGTCCACAGAGCATTCAAGATACTAACTCTTGCTTTGCAGTGTTTGCTCCATGCTGCCATGGATTTGCTCCAGGAACTCAGCCCTACTTGTATTTCCCAAAATGTGCCCAAGAGCTTCAAGCTCCTGAGCTCTTTCACATGCAGTTACTGCCACCTACAAGTGCCCAGTCCCCAACACACTGGTAGTCTGTCCTCAACCACTATAACATCTGTCGTACTCTTAGCTAAACTTGCAAATGTTACAAAGATAACACTGACAGGGGAAGTTAAAAAAAAAAAATCTCATCATTCTGGAATAGAATGAATGGGTAGAAAGATGGCCATTTTTACAGAGGAAGACAAATTTAAGATCTTATTGAGAAGGAGCAGGCTATATTATTGAATTTTATTATTTGATAGAAAATGGAGAGCCATTGGAGGTTTTTTTGAGTAGGGAAGCAAGACAATGAAAGCTGCTTTAAAAAATCCTATATTTCTGTATAAGGATGGATTAGGGAGTGGGGAAAGAGTGCAAATATTCTAGAAAGATTATTTTTTTAACTTTTTGTTTTGTTTTGTTTTGTTTTTTGTTTATTCACTTATACAAGCACTGGGTACAGTCAGAAGCACAGGAGGGTGTGAGAATTCACCAGAGCCAGAGCGGGGAGCAGAGCAGGCAGAAGGACCTAAGTACACTGCTGAGGGGAGCAGCAGGCGGCAGGAGAGGTCTGCGCGCCATGCGGGACCCTCCTCTGGTGGCCGGGGAGCAGCCGGGGATCGAACCGGTGCCGCAGAGGCCGCGGGCAGCTTCGCAACCCAGCGCTCAACCGCTGCGCCACTGGGGAGGCCCTAGAAAGACTTTAAAATGGTGGTGGGGGGTGCAGCAGACTGCTCCTGTCTTGCCTGCTGCTTCTCCTAGCAGTGTATTTCAGTAAATCTGCCTGTTCTGTTCTCAAAACAAACAAACAAGCAAATAAACAAACAAAATGGTGGGGGTATGCCACACAGGACTTGACCTTGAGTGAAAGAGGACCTATATGAGAGGTATTTTGAAGGATGAATGAATAGACCTTGGCAATTGTTATGGGTTGAATCCTGCCCCCCAACATTTATATGAAATCTAATCTCTGACACCTTAGAATGTGACCTGATTTAGAAATGAGACTGTTGCAGATGTAGCTAGTTAAAGTAAGATGAGGTCTTTCGGATGGGTCCTATCCAGTATGACAAAGTGTCTTTATCAGAAATCTGGAGACAGACACACATAGAGGGAAGACAATTTGAAGAGACAAAGGGAGAGATGCCCATCTACAAGGCCAAGAGAAGGTCCCAGAAGGAACTTAACTGGCTAATATCTTGGTTTCAGACTTCTAGCCTCCAGAAGTGTGAGAAGATAAGATAGATTTCTGTTGTTAAGCTACCTGGTTTATGGTGCTTTGTTACACTAGCCCCGGGGAATTAATGCAGATGGCTGGATTTTTTTGGAGAGAGGATCCATCATGAATTTAGAGCTGTTCTGCCTGGGTGAATAATGATGTTACGCATATTGATTGGAATTGGTTGGGGGAAGGAAATGGATGTGCTCTTGTTCAAGGACATCACAACAGCATTTCTCTCCTACCTAATTACTTTTCTGCTGGATGCCTGCTTATTTCATCAGTGCTTAACTATACTGCAATATATCCTACAGGTATTATTTTTAAAATTCTGCTTCTGGTAACAGTGCCTGGAGTAATTCGTAATATTTTACCTGCTGAAGACAATTTGTCTCAGTCTGATTACTCCTCAAATCAAAGCCTTGAGTAAGGGCTGGCCCAGGGGCTGTTTAGGTTGGGATAAGACTGCAAGGTGAAGAGTGGGGGAATGGACAGAGTGGAACAGAGGGCCTGGAGAGCAAGCGGAAGGGGTATCGGTGAGTTGCGGGCAATTGAGTTCTTCTGGGAACTCTCTGAAAGCATTATGTACGCTGCATCTTAGGATCAGTCCTCTGCAATAGAGAAAAAGAAAGTACTCTATGGACTCCATCCCCATTGGGTCAAGGCTTGCACTGTGGGGTACTAATTTCGTCATAGTTCCGGGCTTGTCATATATGAGACTGTCAAAGCAGATTCCCATGGGTCTCTAATGCTGTGGTGACATATGCTGTACAGGTGAGGCAAGTCATGTCAGATTACACCTGGTGGGTTCAGTAATGGCTGGGGTTGAAAGGGAACTCAAGAAGGTACAAGATGGAGCGACAAGTGGTGTCTAATATACTTTTGAAAACTGGATGAAAAATTATCCAAATTATTCTTAAAAATATCAAGGAGCTAGCAGGAGAGTGAAAAGTAACTGATCCAGATCAATAGGTGGAAAAGGAGCAGAAGCCAGATATGGTAAGCCCAATGATCAGGGCTGCTGCAGCAGATGGAAGGCTGATTTAGACAGCCTAAGGAGCCAGAGGAGTAGATGTCAGTTCCCAGCACCTGTGAAAAGCAGAGGCCTAGTAAACTGCTCTCTGTTTTGGTCTGAGACAAAGAGGCAAGCCCTAGGAAGAAGGGTAAGTGGAAGTAAATCAGCCCTTGCCCAGACTGCACCATGGTCTTAAAAATGGATCAAGATTCTATCAAATTGCTATTAATTGTAGGCATTTGCAAAAATAAATGAAGACTCTCTAAGGTCTTAAATTACTTCTACTCATTTTTCAAATACTATGCTCTGCACAATAGAGAACAGAAACCCACAGTGATTCCAGGGCACTATAACTGTACTTGCTATGTCCAAGTATATAACAGACCCGTTGAAGTTTTGTTTTTTTTTTTTTTTTTTAAAGAGGCATGTATTTTTATTTATGATTTATTTATTTGTTTGTTTGTTTTGTTTATACATGCACTGGGTACAGTCAGAAGCGCGGGAGGGTGAGAGAATTCACCAGAGCCAGAGCAGGGAGCAGAGCAGGCAGAAGGACCGAAGTACACTGCTGAGGGGAGCAGCGGGCGGCAGGAGAGGTCTGCGCACCATGTGGGACCCTCCTCCGGTGGCCGGGGAGCAGCCGGGGATCGAACCGGCGCCGCAGAGGCCGCGGGCAGCTTCGCAACCCAGCGCACAACCGCTGCGCCACCGGGGAGGCCCCAGACCCGTTGAAGTTTTGACCAGGAACTAGAAACCACAGAAAATAAGATAGAAGATCATTTAAAGAATCAAATTTGTCAAAATACATGAGGCAAAAAACAAATAGAAAAGTAGACAAATTTCTTTTCATAGTTGGAGTCTTCACTATCCTTTTGACAGTAATTGATAGATCAAGCAGGCAGAAGACCATTAAAGATACAGATGATTGGGTTTACCAGCTCTGAACACAACTATCAATCAGCTTGATTTAATCGACATTTAGAATACTCTGTGCAACAAGGGCCAAATACATATTCTTCTCAAGTTCACATAGAACTTTCATCAAGATAGACCATCACAAAACACACTTAACAGGGCCTCCCCGGTGGCGCAGCGGTTGAGCGCTGGGTTGCGAAGCTGCCCGCGGCCTCTGCGTGGCAAGTTCGATCCCCGGCTGCTCCCCGGCCACCAGAGGAGGGTTCCACATGGCGCGCAGACCTCTCCTGCTGCCCTCTGCTCCCCTCAGCAGTGTACTTCGGTCCTTCTGCCTGCTCTGCTCCCCGCTCTGGCTCTGGTGAATTCTCTCACCCTCCCGCGCTTCTGACTGTACCCAGTGCTTGTATAAACAAACAAACAAATTAATTAATTAATTAAAAAAAAACACTTAACAAATGTTAAAGAATAGAAGTCATACAAAATATCTTCCTAGACCATGATGGAATTAGACTGGAAATCAATAACAGAAGGAGAATTGGAAAATCCTCAAATGTCTGGAAAACAACAGCTTTCTAAATAACCCACGAGCCAAAAAAATTAGGAGAGAAATTTTAAATATTTTGAACTAAATATCAGTTATATATATATATATAACTTAACTTATTTAGTTAAGTTAACTGATATTTAGTTCAAAATATTTAAAATTGGGCCTCCCCCGCTCTGGCTCTGGTGAATTCTCTCACCCTCCTGCGCTTCTGACTGTACCCAGTGCTTGTATAAATAAATAAATATAAAAAAAAGAAAGAAAGAAAGAAAGAAAGAAAGAAAGAAAGAAAGAAAGAAAGAAAGAAAGAAAGAAAGAAAGAAAGAAAGAAAGAAAGAAAGAAAGAAAGAAAGAAAGAAAAGACTTGGGCTTGAGTCCAGATCTTTAAAAAAAAAAAATTGTCTTCCACCTTCACTCGGCTTTATGATCCTAGGGTGATGTCTATGGACTGCATCAACCAGAGATCCTTGTTCACTTACTTCTGTTTCTTTTTTTATTATGTTTGAGGGAATGTTGATTTAAATCTCTACAAATGTATGTTATCACACCACCACCATGGCCCTGATAATCCACCATAATCCATTGGTCTCCCTCTACCCTCAGCTCTCCCTTTCTGGTAGCCTCAGTTATGCGGTCAGATTTCAAGATTTTTAATTTTCTGTCTGTTCCTTTACTTTGTTTTTTTTTTCTCTTTTCATATTCCATGTATAAATGAAATCACCTGGTATTTGTCTTTCTCCCTCTAAATTATTTCACTTATCATAATCCATACAAAAAGCCAACAGGCACTTAAAAAATGCTCACCATCACTTATTATCAGGGAAATGCAAGTCAAACCCACAATGAGATACGCCCTCATACCTGTGAGAACCATCCACAGGATAGAAGCAGCGCCGCTTCTATCCTGGCTGGCTGGCGAGGGTCCCACATGGCGCAGCAGACCTCTCCTGTTGTGCCCGCTCCTCCCCTCAGCAGTGTATTTTGTCAGTCTGCCTGTTCTGTTCCCCGCTCTGTCTCTGGTGAATCCTCTCACCCTCCCGCACATCTGGCCTATACCCCAGTTCTTGTATAAATAAATAAATAAATCTTTAAAAAAAAAAAAAGACCAGAAACAACAAGTGTTGGTGAGGGTGTGGAGGAAAAGGAGCCCTTCTGCACTGTTGGTGAGAATGTAGGCTAATCCAGCTTTCATGGAAAACAATATGGAAGATTCTCAAAACATTAAAAATAGATTAGCATATGATGTAGCAATCCCTCACCTGGTATCTACTGGAAGAACACAAAAGCTCTAATTTGAAGGGATCTATGCACTACTATGTTCCCTGCAGCACTATTTACAATAACCGAGTTATGGCAACAACCTAAGTGCCCAATGACAGATGAGTGAAGAAAGAAGATGTGGTATAGATACATGATGGAATATTATTCAGCTCTCTCTCTCTCTCTCTCTCTCTCTCTCTATATATATATATATATATATATATTGACAACATATCAGAGTATTTTTGGAAACTGAGGAATTTGAATATGAACTGAGTATTAAATGACATGAGGGAATTATGGCAAATTTTGTTAGATGTCATGATGACATTTTGGTTATGGGAAAATATTCTTATGTCTTGGAAAGAAATATTCAAATGTTTATAAAAGAAATATGATCTCTATCATTTCATTTTAAATACTAAAAAGAGAAAAAATGCGTTTTGTATTTTGGAACATTCGTTCCTGAAAAGTCAGAGAGTAAAGTGATAAAATTTGAACGTTAGAAAACTCACTCCCTAGCTTATGGGTGATAAGACTGGAAGTAAGAGGCAAATTAGATGATTACAGCAAGAGTCGTGGTGAAAGTGCACAGCTGTTTAGCTAGGACAGTAAAAAGAGATCAAGATGTGGGCTGATGGGACACAGAAGATTGTTGGAAGCTCCTGGTGGCAAAGGACGAAAGAAAGGAGCTTCAAGGTTAACAGCAAAACGAATGTGTGTCTCGTGTTCAGTGTGTGCCAGTGACGTCGTTATTCCGAGTGACCCACGTGAGTTAAACTCCTGTAATCCTCACAACCATCTTGTGGGGGAGGTTTTAGTAGCACCTCCATTTTACCATCGGGAAATTTGGGTGCAGAAAGATGAAACAACTCGCCCAAAGTTATACCCCTAGGAGGTGGCATTGCTTAGAACTGGACTCCTGGCACACATGCCTAACCATTCCTGCTCTCAAGGATGCCACCCATACCACTAATGAAGATGCATAATTACCTAGGTTATTTACTTTTCTGCTCCTTATCTTAGGGTTTATACTACACTATCAGTGCGGTAACCCTTTCGCCACCGCTGGGCCTGGGTGTGGAGGTGGCGGTCCTAGGGGAGAAGCATGCGTCAAAAAGAGGTGTGGGGCCAAGTGGGGATGCTAGTGAGTCGCCTACTATTTGGAGGAGGATGGCTAGGGCGGGTTGCTGCCGGGGTAAGCAGGGCTTTTACGCCACCTCTGACGCAAATAAGCGTAAGAGCCGGGGGTGGAGATGTCGTCACCACCCGCCCCGGGTTGGCCGAGTTGCCGAGAGAGGGGCGTGTAGACCCCGCCTTGTAGGAGGGTGGGGAGCGGCAGGCCCCGCCTTTGCCCCTCCGGCTGGCTCCAGCCCGCTTCGCTGCGGCTCTGGCAGCAGAGCGAGCGCTGGGAGCCGGGAAGGATGCGGCGCCCAAGGAGGCCTGGGGGTGCTGGGGGCCTCCGGGCGCTCCTCTGTCTCCTGCTGCTGAGCAGCCGCCCGGGAGGCTGCAGCGCCATCAGTGCCCACGGTCAGGAGGAAACAGGGTTGGGGGATGGAGAGAAGGAGGGAGAACGGGTGGTGCCGGGAGCAAAACTCGGCGTGGGGTGAGGGAAGTGCCGCGAAGGTGGGAAGCGCAGGTAGAATCTGAGTGTGGAGTGGGGCAGGGGAAGCGCTGTGAGACGAAGCGCTGGGAGGAAAGGGGCGTAGGCCTGGGGGTGGGGCTGGCAGTACGGGGGCGGGACCTAAGAGAAGCGGGCTCAGGGGAAGCTCGCGGGTTTGGGAGAAGGACCGGGGTGCTATGGACAAGAGGGCTTGGAGACGAGGTGCAAGACCCAGGAGAAGCGCGTCGCGAGGCTCCCTGGAAGTGAAGGCCGGCGTCGAGGAGTTGGATTGGGTGCAGGAGTAGGGGGCGGGAGAAGGAACCCCGATCTCCGGGCTGCAGGCGTCCCGGCCCAGAGCCTCGGGGTCCCAGCGCCCCGTAGAAAACCAGGCTGCAGGCGCGTTGCAGGGTTTTGTTTTCAAGCCCAGAGGTCCGGTTGCTGAGGCTGGCCCTCCGGTGGGAGGGGAGGGACAGCGAGGGTGGAGATGAAAGGGTCTCCTTCCTCCCCCTCCCCACAGCCGGGCCCGCTGCTGACTCACTTCGGAGCGGGCTGAGACGCCCGGCGCTGACTCACGGGCAGGGGGAGGGTGGGAGGGGGCTTGCGGGGGAAGGGGCCGTCTGGCGCCCTCCCCACACGGCTTGGAAACACGGCTTGGAAACCAATTCAGGGTACTTCCTGTGACGTTGCGGGCTGGTAAGATGAGGGCTGGCACGGCGGAGGGGTCAGGCCTTGTGGACACACCCCGCCCTGTCGCCCCTCCCTGCTCGTCCATAGCTGCTTCCCGGCGAGCCCTCGGCGGCGCCCGCGCGGGGCTTCAGCACCGCGGACAGCGCCAGCCACGGGCCGGCTCGCCCTGACCCCGCTTTACGCGGAGGTCGGGGGGGGGGGGGGGGGGCGGGGTGCTAGAGTTTTCATCTCCTTCGAACCCCAGGCCATCATGGTTAGAATGTTTTTGGAGATTTGGGGAGGAAAGTCCATTTTCCCTTGGAATTTAGGCAAAAACTTGCCAGTAGTACTTGCAGGTAGAGAGTGTATGTCCTCCACGGTCATCCCAAGCCGCCTCTCCATCACTCCGTTAAACAAATTGAGGCTTTTAGGAAAAGGATCCAGACTCGCAGATCCTTAGAATCCAAACTTAGATCCTGCACTGCTTTCTCTCAAGAAATCTAGACTCCCCCCTCCGCTCCTACCAGCTTCAAGCCTCCCTTAGAATGAAAGAATGGACTCCATCTGCTTCCCCATCCCAGCCTGTCCGTCCATCTGATCATTCTGTGTGGGGAGTCTGAACGTCTGCTCACTCTCCCTCTACAGGCTGCCTGTTTGACCGCAGGCTCTGCTCTCACCTGGAAGTCTGTATTCAGGGTGAGTGAGGCCCAAGTGTAGGATTTACCAGACAGGGGGACACAATAAGAAAGAAGTGGAGGGAGGCATGGAATGGATAAGGGGTGCTGGGTTTGGGGACAAGGGGGGCTGGTCTGGAGGAACATAATACTCTGAAGCCATACAAGGAGATGGTAAGGATGCTATTCATTTGCATCCTGGACTTTGGGGTGTCTTCTTCCAAGCTCCCTGGTAACACCACTTTTGTCCTCTCAGATGGCTTGTTTGGACAGTGCCAGGTGGGAGTGGGGCAGGCTCGGCCCCTCTTGCAAGTCACCTCCCCTGTCCTTCAGCGCTTACAAGGTGTGCTCCGACAACTCATGTCCCAAGGTGAGGTCTAGGTGAACTGGAGGAAAGAGACTGGAACCAGTTAGATAAGGATGGGGAACTAAGGGACCACCTGAATCAAAGATTTTTCATCATGGAATATTCCTAACACACACACACTTCTGAACCTTCCCCTTCCCAGACCTTGCTGGAGAAGGGAGCAACTCAAATAGAACCCTTGAGATGGGCTCTTCACATCTAGACTCCCTGGAGGAGTTCAGAGGAAGTTTCTAGAAGTCATTGGAAGTGGGAAGTGTTCTTGAGTAGGTGATAGGGGATAAAATCTAGTTCTCAGATGGAAGAATTGACCTTAAATAAGAACACAATATAGTTCATCTAATGTTATAGGGAAGAAGGCAGGAATGGATGTTACTTGATCCCAAAATATGACATAAGAGCAGTATAGACTATTAATCCAGAAACTGGGAAAAAGAAATGGAGGTGGAAAGTAGATCAGTACCTTAGAACAAGTGTCTAGCTTCTCTGAGGGCAGAAGTACACTGAAGGAAGGGTCAAAAGCAGATCTGCCTCAGGGTAAGATGAGGATGATGAGGAATGTTTAAATTATGTGTATCCTGCTTTAGAGTTCTCTAAGCACTTTCATCACCCTGTTGTACTTGGTCTTCACAACAGCCCCATGAACAGATGTTATTCTCACTTTAAAAATAAAAGAAACTGAGGTTCAGGATGGACAGAAAGAACAATAACAGGAATGATAATTATGATAATAATTTTATCATTTTGCAACTATTGCAGGTTTGCTATAGGACAGGTGCTATTCTAACCATTTTATGTTATTTTTTAATTAGCAGAACAATCTTAAGAGGTATTAACTCATTCTATAGATGAGGGAACTGAGTTCCAGGCAGGCTCAACAACTTGCCCAAAGTCACACATTAGTAAGTGGCAGAGGATTCAACTACAGTGTAACTGAAGACAGTATGACTCCAAAATCTATACCGAAGGCGGGGTAAGGACAGCTCAAGTCACCCACCAGGAGTTGAGACCCCTCCTCTGCCACTCTGCTATGCCAAACTCAATACACTGCAGGAAAGGGGTGGGGTTTTGATCTGATCTCTACTGGTTCCTGTCATTGGTCCCTCTGGCTGTCCCAAGCCGACCTCACCCTATCCCGTCCTCTGACAGGATTGTCGTGGCATGATGACCTCACCCAGTATGTGATCTCCCAGGAGATGGAGCGCATCCCCAGGCTGTACCCCTCAGAGTCCCGTCCAAGGGACAGGTAGGCATCCTTTCTCAATGACTCTAGCATGAAAAGGTCAGTGGGTCTGTGGCCTTTTTGATGGATGAAGGAAAAAGAGAGGGAAGTAGAGGCAGGGTTCACATGCCCAGTAGGAGCTGAGTTCATCCCTGGGGATTCAGCCATTTTTTCCCTAAAGATTTAGTTATTTATGCATACAAGAACTGCAGACAGCAGTTCTTCTGGGGTGTAGACCAGAAGTGCAGGTTGGGGAGGGTGAGAGGATTCATCAGAGACAGAGTGGGGAGCAGAACAGGCAGATCCACTGAAATGCACTGCTGAGGGGAGCAGCAGGTAAGACAGGTGAGGTCTGCTGCACCATGTGGGAATTGGCTGAAATTGAACTCATGCTGCAGTGGCTGCAGATAGCTTCATAGTGCTGCAACTTAACCCCTTGTGCCACCAGGGAGGCCCCAACATAGGGGCATTTTTATAGTATTCTGAAAAATTTGGACATTTGGTATTTTAAAAAGTCTTTATATATTTATTATTTTAAAATTATTCTATTTATTTATGCTTTTTGACAGTTGATAATTTAAAGGAAACATCAAAGTAGTCATCATGGAACAAATTATATTTTTGATGGGCTGGGGTGGTTTAATATTGTTTCATTACTATGTGGAATTGTATATGGTGGGAGATACTGTCATCTTCTGGTGGGCAGGGCTTCTGAGAGCATAGACAGTTCATCTAATACTATAAGCAATAAGGCTGTATAGATGCTAGTGGATTCCAGAATGTGTGTTAAGAGCAGTGCAGACTCTGCAAAGAAAGTAAATGAGGGTCATGCTGCTGGGGTGATGAAGGCCTGGTGGGGGGTGGTACAGATGGAGTATTTGAATGTAGACATGGACAGCCAGGCGTGGGAACATATACACGGGGGGCATTGGGGCAAGCTGCAGCCACGATTCATCTAGAAAGCTTCCCAGCTGCCTCCCGCGCTCCCCGCCCCCCTTCTCCATCCCAGCCCCGTGTTTCCCTGACCTCTGCAGCTGTGTTTCAGAGACCCAGGCCAGGGAGAGACAATGACCTCTGTCACAGGCTAGGCCCTCTCCCCTTCCCCTGAGGCTGCCTCCTTTCTCAAGTGGTCAAACTCACTCTAAACTGCAGAGCCTGCCTGGCTGCACCATCTCTGCCTTGTAGGGTCACTGCCTTCGCCTGACACAACAAACATACATGCTCTCTTCCCCAGGCCTGGCTTGGTGCCCAGGAGAGCTGGTCCTGCAGGGGAGCTGCTTTTACAGGGCATCCCCACTGGCTCTGCCCCAGCTGCCCAGCACCGCCTTCCTCGACCTCCAGGGGGTGGGGATGGAGGTGGGGCAGGCTCTCCCCTGTCCCCTCTGCAAGCTGAGTTGCTGCCCCCCCTCTTGGAGCATCTACTACTACCCCCACAACCCCCCCACCCTGCCCTGAGTTATGAACCTGCCCTGCTGCAGCCCTACCTGTTCCACCAGGTGAGTCCTAGACACCGGCCCCACCCCCCAACCCCCTAGCCCTGACTTCTGCTCTTACCCAGATCTCTGGTTTCCCACAGTTTGCCTCCCGTGATGGCTCCCGGGGCTCAGAGAGCTCCCCAGGGATGGCCAGTGTTGGCCCCCTGCCCAAGACCGAACCCCCTGCCCTCTTCAGCAGAACTGCCCCCAAGGGCATGTTTGGGGCTCACCCTGGCCACTCCTATGGGGACCCTCCAGGGCCTTCACCTGCTCAGCTTTTCCAGGAGTCAGGACTGCTTTACCTGGCCCAGGAACCGCCAGTGCCCAGTAGGGCCAGGGCACCAAGGCTGCCGGAGCAAGGGGGCAGCAGCCGGGCAGAGGACTCCTCAGAGGGCTATGAGGAGGGAAGACTAGAGGGCCTCAGAGAGAAGCTGCCTTCACCAGCAGAGCAGCCAGGTAACAGCCCTCAGGTCCACCTTCCTGTCTGCGGGGAATGCTTCTGGGGCTCCTGCCTTTACTGATTTGCACTGAGACCCTTTCACAAAGCTAACTAATGTCTACTGACCACCAGATCCCTGCCAGGCACTCAGTAGGCCATGCGGGTTCCTTGGGGGTGGAGCTGACATGACTTCAGTGGAGAGTCAGTATGTCCATGGTTGAGCTGAAGTTGGGTCTTGGTCCAGGAAGGTCTTTTCCCCAAACTGTGTGAGGCTAGGAGGGCGGAGAGGGCATCAGTGTCCTGATGTTTGAGAAGAACCTCTCACATGCTTAATCCCCTCTCACCTGCAACGCACCGTCTGCACCTCACAAGTTTATGCCACCAGCACTAAGCTCTGTCTGGCTCCCAGCAGACGCGACTCTGAAGAGACTGGCCGCTGTGCTGGCAGGCTACGGGGTGGAGGTGCACCAGCTCACCCCTGAGCAGCTCTCCACCCTCTCCGCCCTGTTGCAGCTGCTGCCCAAGGGCACAGGACAAAATCTGGGTGAGTGGGGGTCTCTGTAGCACTACCTGCTCCACGGAGTCTTCTTGCCTTACCTCTCAAAACCACCTGGAGCAGTCTAGAGGGAAAGGGTCAGGGTCAAGGTCAAGGAAAGAGAATTCTTTCAAGACAGCGGGTCATGGCCAGCAAAGGTCAAGGAGCAAGGGGGTGTGGTGGGGAGGCGAGGAAGCAGACCAGGGAAGGTGTGGAAATAATGGGAACATGGGGTGTGAGCAGGGGTCTGGAGATGACTGATGAGGAGATGACTGATGACTGATGAGGAGGGGGTGTGGCTAAGGGGAAGGAGTAGCCAGTGACTGGTGGGTGTGGCCTGGAGGGGGTGACAACCACTTACAGCACATGAATTTCAAGGCAGAAGCCTGGAGGTGGGAGATCCAGCTTAGGATGAGACCAAAGACCAGTGTCTTGGTCACTGACCCAAGGGAAGGAGGCCGCAGCAGGTGTGATAAGCTCAGGGTCCTTGGCCCTTCCTCCCCCCAGTGTTGTGTGGATCTGGGCCCTTTGCCCAGAGTCTTGTTTTTCCTGTCTCTGCAGGAGGGGTTGTAAACATAGGCGCTGACATCAAGAAAGTGAGTGCCCTGCGCTTCCCTCATCCATAATGCCCCAGGGCAGCAAGCCCTTTTGAATCTAAACCTCAGGAGCAGGACATCTATCCTCCCACCCCTCATTCTGGGGAAACTAAGGCCCCAACTAAATCATTGCCTAAGAGCTGAACTTAAATTGGTGGCAGTACAAGAACTAGAAACCAGAATTCATGAGTCACTACGTTCCCCCCTCCCCCCTCATTCAGATTCTGTTCTGCCTGAGTAACCCCAGGGAGAGAGGGACTTGTGAGCAGGCAGGCTTCTGACACCCCCACCACCAGCTCCATCAGGACCGCATGTCAAACTTCCAAGATTTTTGTGGCTAAAAAATTCTAACTGTCCTAACCCAGCTTCCCTCACTCCAGCTCCAGCCTCTAGATTATTCTGACCGTGATCCACACATTCAGTCTTTCACTGATTCATTGATTCACTTGGCTCACTTTTCTGGGTGGCTTCTTTGTGGATGCACTAGGCCATGGGGGTAAAAAGAGAAGCAAGTCCTCAGCTCCTCAGTAGGGACCCCAGAGTTTAGATGTACCCCCTACTTCCCCAGTCTACCCCCAGCCCCTGCTCTGTGCAGAAACCACACCTCCATCATCTCTTCTAACAGACAATGGAGGAGCAGATGCAGGGCGGAGACACAGCAGAGCCTCCACCCACTACCCCTTCCCTGCCTGTATACCCCACTGCCATCCCCACCTCCAATAAAGCCCAGCAGGTGCTGGGGTCTGGATCCTCTGAGCCCCCCAAAACTGCTGGCTCTGCAGCCACATCTGTCCTGCTGGAGAAAAAGAGTCCACTGAGCCAGAGTCAGCCCACCGTGGCGGGGCAGCCCTCAACTCAGCCCTCGGCAGAGGAATATGGCTACATTGTCACTGACCAAAAGTAAGGAAGCCTGGGGAAGGTCTCCAGCACCCTGGGGTTGGGATGGCTGCCTGGCAGGAGGCAGACAGTAGAAATTTAGACGTGAAGTAGACAGAGGGATGGGTGACTGCACCCCCAATGGTGGCCTGTTTCAAGAAAGTGATCAAGAGGGTCCCCACGTTCCTCCCTCTGCCTGCTCACCACTTTCAGGCCCCTGAGCCTGGCTGCAGGAGTGAAACTGCTGGAGATCCTGGCTGAGCACGTGCACATGTCCTCGGGCAGCTTCATCAACATCAGGTGGGACTGGTATCTGGCTGGGGTGGCAGGTATCTAAAAGGTAGCAGAGATCTAGAAGGTAGCTTGAGGCAGAAGGTGGCTGGAGGTGCTCAGGGAAGGAGGAGAAGACAAACACTGAGTAAGGGTCCAACTGCATTGAAGGCACAGCCACACCTAGCCCTGCTGCTGGCCCCACACAGTCTCCCTGGCCTCGGCTGCTGCTGTAGGGCATCTCTGATCCGCTTCAGCCCCCTTCTCTATTGGGGAGAGGGCCGGAGCTGGCCTCTTTTTGAGTCTGCAGCCTAGGAGGAGTGAGATAGTAACCTAGCTTCTATCTGGCAGTGTGGTGGGACCAGCCCTCACCTTTCGCATCCGGCACAATGAACAGAACCTGACCTTGGCTGATGTGACCCAGAAAGCTGGTAAATAATGCCTACCCCGACCTCAGCCCTAGTAGGATATACAGCCTGTGGATGATGTGTCTTTAAATGTTCTCAGCCCATGTGGGTCTCGCCTGCCCCCTGGCATAACATAACATGGAGTGGAGACCGCCTTGGCTGAAGAGACTGACTTAAGTTCATCCTACCTGCAGGGCTGATGAAGTCCAAACTGGAAGCACAGACAGGGCTCCAGATCTTGCAGACAGGAGTGGGACAGGTATGAGCTGACTGGTGAGCCAGTTAAAAACCCAGAGGGTAATGTTGCCAATGAGAGGTGGAGGCAAACTTGGCAAGAGAAAAGGAGCTGAAACCTCATGCAGCTCACCAGGGCGCAGTTCAGCCAAGGCAGCCCTCTCCCGTGCAGTTGTCTCCCTGACCAGCAGATGGCCCCAGCGGGCCCTCCCTGCAGCGGGCAGCACCCTGGGCAGGCACCTGCTGAGACCTCCCTAACACCCTGAGTAGTGTTTGCATTCCTAGCCCAGGTCGCACATAAACTCAAACTATGCTTCTACACTTGATCCAACCCTGAAGTTTTATATCCTGTCCACTGGGTTCCACTACACTTTCTATTTTAAATGTAAAAACTCCTGGTGGGGGCGGGTCCCCCACTATGTCACCAGCGCGGTAATGCGGTTGGGTTGGTCTGATGGGACTAGAGGAGGGTCTTGGGCCTCCCTGAGCCCTTCTGCCTGCACCACTGAACCCCTTTCCTCCAGCTTTGCCCCAGGGGACACCCTGTTGCCCGGGACAGGGGTGACTAAGTGTCTAAATGCCCTCTCCCAGTGCCCGCCCTTGATTCTAGTCTTGTTCCCACAGAGGGAGGAGGCAGCCGCGGTCCTTCCGCGAAAGGCGCACAGCACCTCCCCCCTGCGCTCAGTGCTGCTGACCCTGGTGGCCCTGGCGGGGGTGGCCGGGTTGCTGGTGGCTCTGGCGGTGGCTCTGTGTATGCGGCAGCACGCGCGGCAGCGCGACAAGGAGCACCTGGCAGCCCTGGGGCCTGAGGGGGCTCAGGGGGACACTACCTTTGAGTACCAGGTATGCAAATCCAAAGCTTGTTGAGGGGAGAGGAGGGGATGGAAGGGGATGGAGGGGGCTTGGGAAGGCCTGGCATGGGGTGAAGGTGGGAGTTGGATAGGGAGTGAGTATCCATCCCTGAGGACATTAGGCGGAGTCTGGAGAGCCCCAACAGGGTGGGGAGCAGGCATTCTGATGGAACTGGGAGCAGACGGTTCCTAAGGTTCTTCCCAAAGCTGTAGTTGGCTCTGGGTCTCCACCATGTGATAGCTGAGGTTGTCAAGCAGAGCCCCCCCAATAAAGGTGAGGGCCAAGCCAGACACCCTACCCTAGAGGAGATGGTTTCATTTCAAATCAATCGAGGATGAACTTAAAGATTCAGAATCGAGCCCAGGATCTGGCTGAAAAGGCATCCGGGGGCCCACGGGCTCCCCCCGCCCCGATCCTTCCCCCACAGGACCTGTGCCGCCAGCACATGGCCACAAAGTCCCTGTTCAACCGGGCGGAGGGCCCGCCAGAGCCTTCGCGGGTGAGCAGCGTGTCCTCTCAGTTCAGCGACGCGGCCCAGGCCAGCCCCAGCTCCCACAGCAGCACACCGTCCTGGTGTGAGGAGCCGGCCCAGGCCAACATGGACATCTCCACAGGACACATGATTCTGGTCAGGACGGGGCCCGGTGCGGAGGGGGTGAAGGGACAGGTAGGTGGAGGAGGCCGGCCTGGTGGTGTGGGCCGAGCCAGGCTGTGTGTCCCTGTAGGCGTACATGGAGGACCACCTGCGGAACCGTGACCGCTTGGCCAAGGAGTGGCAGGCCCTGTGTGCCTACCAGGCAGAGCCCAACACCTGCGCCACCGCCCAGGGAGAGGGCAACCTCAAAAAGAACCGCCATCCTGACTTCCTGCCCTGTGAGCGAGCTCTGCTGGCCAATGGGGTTCACCCCTGTGTCTGCTGGGAGCGCCGCAGAGGTTGGGGGAGGGCTGAGACTGAATGACAGAGGTGCCAGCACCCTAATGATGGCGCATGTGGGGTGGGATGCGGGGGTCTCTGCAGATGACCATGCTCGCATCAAGCTGAAGGTGGAGAGCAGCCCTTCCCGGAGTGATTACATCAACGCCAGCCCCATCGTGAGTGGCCCCAGCCCGCACCCCTGCCCTTCTTATCCTGGCACAAATAAGTCCATTCCCTTATGCTCACCACCCACCCCCCTCAAAGCCCTGGAATGCTGGAGCCTGATATCCTTGCATGGAAATGGGGGGCCCAGCTTCCCCCAGGCCCTGGCCCTCTCCCTTCGGCATTTCTCATTCTGGTTCACGTTGTCTCTTCCTGCCCCCAGATTGAACACGACCCTCGGATGCCAGCCTACATAGCCACTCAGGGCCCGCTCTCCCACACCATCGCAGACTTCTGGCAGGTGGGTTCTTGGAGGCCGGCTTCTCCAGGGACCTAGTGTCAGCCAGGGCTGGCCCCGTCCCAGGGAGGATGGAAGCAACTTACCTGTCTCTCTGTGCCTAGATGGTGTGGGAGAGTGGCTGCACCGTCATCGTCATGCTGACCCCGCTGGTGGAGGATGGTGTCAAGCAGTGTGACCGCTACTGGCCCGATGAGGGCTCCTCCCTGTACCATGTATATGAGGTCAGCAGGACACCCCAGCCAGGGGACAATGGGAGTGGGGAAAGTGGACGGTGGACCATTTATACATGTATGTACATAAACACGTGTACATGTATGTGCGCATGAATATGTGTGTGCAAATGTGTGTCTGGTTTAGACCAAAAATATGTGCAGGGGCCTACACTAGAAGGTATAGAAATAAAACTATAAAACCACTGAAGCTAAGAACCAAGAGTGGATGAGACAGGGAAATTAAGTGCACCCAAAGACCAAGACTGACACCTACTTTAATTGAGCCTAACTTAGTTCTGAGTTCCCTGGGGGCCAAAGCAAAGAAAGAATCCCATCAGTCATATGCGTTGCTTACGTAAAGTGGAATCAAACTTTTTCTTTAGGACAGAGGATACGTAGGGGAAACTGGGCAGATAGAAAGCAAGGGAGAGAGAAACAAATCCCTGACAAATGGGAGCAGGTGCGTCCACTAGTAAGATTTTTTTTTAAGATTTATTTATTTATTTATGCAAGCACTGGGTACAGTCAGAAGCGCGGGAGGGTGAGAGAATTCACCAGAGCCAGAGCGGGGAGCAGAGCAGGCAGAAGGACCGAGGTACACTGCTGAGGGGAGCAGCGGGCGGCAGGAGAGGTCTGCGCGCCATGTGGGACCCTCCTCCGGTGGCCGGGGAGCAGCCAGGGATCGAACCAGCGCTGCAGAGGCTGCGGGCAGCTTCGCAACCCAGCGCTCAACCGCTGCGCCACCGGGGAGGCCCCACTAGTAAGATTTGAAGAGAGTCTGCTCGTCACCAGATGCGCACTGGACAGCAGTTTTTTCACAACCAGATGAACTCTCTTTTTAAAATTTTATTGGCCTTACTCATGAGTGAAGAAAAGATCCAAGAAGTTTATGGCGCATCGTAGCACTGTCACTTGCCAGACTCTGAAGAAGGAGAAACTGACCTCCAGACACTCACGATAGTTGCAAGCAGGCAGAAGAGCCACCAGCTGCCCTGCGCAGTAGAGGAGTGACAGGAGCAGCTAGAGCTCCCAGGAGCAGGGGCCTGGGCAGCTGGGGAAGCTTCCTGGAGGATTTAGAATTTGCACACGCCGGGTTTGGCGGGGCGGGGGCCTGGGGTCCGGAGAGGCCGCGGAGCGTGCACGCAGGGACAGGCCCCGGCACGCTGAGGCCTGGGCCCCGCCCCGCAGGTGAACCTGGTGTCCGAGCACATCTGGTGCGAGGACTTCCTGGTGCGCAGCTTCTACCTGAAGAACGTGCAGACCCAGGAGACGCGCACGCTGACGCAGTTCCACTTCCTCAGCTGGCCGGCAGAGGGCACCCCGGCCTCCACGCGGCCGCTGCTGGACTTCCGCAGGTGAGCGGGCGCGCCGCGGCGTGGGCGCCTGGACGCGCAGCTCCCGGGGTCGGGGAGAGGGCAGCCCCGGGGCAGGGGTCCGGGGGCGACCCCCCCAGCTCTCCGGCTCCTCCTGGGGACAAGGTTATGTGAGGCGGGCCCGCGAACCTGACCTGGGGCCTGGCCTCTGACCTCTGACCTCCGACCGCCCCTTCCAGACCCTCCCAACCAGGACTGATGCTTTGTGTCGCTGTGCGCACCCCCCGCCCGCCCCGCCCGCCCCGCCCGCCCGCCGTGGTCGTGCTCGGTGTCCCCCTCTGCTGTTCTGCGTCGCCCTGTCACGCCCCCTTTTTCTCTGGCCCTCTCCGTTCCCTGTCTGGCTTCTCTTTCACCCCCGTCCCCAAGAAGGACGGGCCTGGTTTCCAACGCCGCAGTTCCCTTGCCCCCGCCTCCCCGTCTGTCCTTGCTGTGTGTCCTGCCACGCCCTGGCAAGCCTTCCCCGCGCCTGTACGCGCCGACCCCGCCTGGCATCTCCCCGGCCTGATCCCTCTGGCTTTTGCCTCTATTTTTAATTCTCTCCCCGTCTGTCTTATTCTGTTTCCCTTCCTTTTCCTCTTCCCGCCCCCAACACACTCTCTCTCTCCTCTGCGCTTGCCCCGTGTTCTGTCTCTTTGTCTCTCTCCACCTCCCCGTCCTGGCTGTCCCCCCTGCCCCTCTTTGTCCCTGTCTCCCCTGGCCGCCTCCCTCTTCCTGGCCCTCCGCATGTCTGTCTCTCCACCACGCTCTCCCTTCCCTCCTCTCTTTCTCTCTCTCACAGCTGCCGGCGTCATTTTTGTGATCTGCAGCTAGTATTCTCACTCCAGTTGCATAGTCACAAAAGTGATCATTGGCAGGTGTGGCCGCTGCATGGACAGGACAGGACATGGGGACCCGGGGGCCACCCAAGGCTGCTGGGAGAGCTGGGGGCTGGAGGGACACAGGGAGGAGACAGATACTATCAAAGGGAGTGCAGAGCATCTTGGGGTTCTCTGGGAACCAGGTAGGGGTGGGGACGGGAAGCTAGCAGGGACTTGACCTGTTCCGACACCCAAACCACAACTAGGCCACGATCAGGCCAGCCTCTGCAGCCCCTGCCTCCCCCAACACTCCCCACCCCAACCCACACTTAGGTGGCTGAGAATCCTGTGGCCACCGGGTGGCCCCATCCCCACCCCCTGCAGGCCTGTCCTCTCCCCACCCCCGCCCTGCTGGCCTGCCCTCTTCTTGGTGCTGGACAGAGGGCAGGGACCAGAGTTGGGGTGGGGACAGGGCATAGATTCAGAGCCTCAGCACAGTGCTTTCTAACGGGGGTCCCTGGGGTCTGAGGCCCAGGCTTCTCAGTGCCAGGCATATGGGGGCTATTTTCTGTTTTCCACATTTAAACCATCCTTAGGGAACTAGTGCATGGAGCTGTTTTAAGGCTGTGCAGGTAAGCTTTGCTTTAGGTTGGAATTACGTAAACTCAGTTGCACTAGACTCTCAGAACAAAATTAATTGCTGTTTAATAATATAGTTTGATGAAGTTCTACTAGAGGTAAGGAAAAATATTTTTTTAATCCCAGAAAGTGACCCTGAGCAAGTTCCTTGACCTCTCATGTCTCCTTCCCTGCCTGAGCACAGTAGCCTCCACCTTAGGTGCTGTTACAAGAGTCAAAAGGATCAAGTGTCTAAAATCTAAAGTTTAAGTGCCTGGCACAGAGCCAGGGCTCCATTAATTCTAGATACTATTTATTCTCAAAATTATTATTCAATGAGTGGGAACCATTGTTGGAACTGTCTTGCCACCCAGCCCTCTGACATGAGCCCAACATGCCAGAAAGCAACGTGGGCTCTTATAAAACCACCTGAAGTTGCCTGACACCGGCAGGTCTTAGGGATTCAGCTTCCCCTGAAGCATTCTAACAATCCCTGAGAAAGTCTTCGCTGTTTGGGGGCATCAGAATTCTCTAGGTAACTCTTCAATCCAAGCAAGAGGGTTAAAGGGATGAAGTTAGACTGGGCCAGGGAGGTAGGGAGGAACCCCTGGCCCCTTGCTGACATGTGATCAGGCAGCAGAGACGAGTCGAGGTCCAAGTGGACCCCAAGTCTGATTACAAGCTAATCACAGAGCACCTGTGCTGCAGTGAGACTGATCCAAGGAAATAGCAACAGTGCAAGGTTCAGAGCCAAGAGGTTGTCCTGCCTCAGCCAGAGGAACTTTGTGCCCAGAGTTACCTGGTCTCACCGCTGTGAGAACACAGGAGCCTGAGTAGGGAGGGAGGGTATGGAGGGTATGGAGGGCAGTGAAGGGCAGAGGGTATGGAGGGTATGGAGGGCAGTGAAGGGCAGAGCAAGGATGTGGCAAGATTGAAACCCTGGGAGTCACTGGCAAGTCCATCCCCCCGGCCTCTGGCGGAAGCGGCTATTACATTATTACGTGTGCTCATTAACAATAGCCACCATGCACTGAGCATCTACTATGTGCCAGACCGCGCACATAATTCTTTGCCCACATTAACTCATGTAAGCATGGTAAGAGCTTTAAAGAGGTTACTGTGATTATCATTCTCATCTTGCAGGTAAGAAAACCGAGGGTCAAAGGGGTAAAATAGTTGTTCCAGGTGCATAGTTGGGGCGCGTAGCTCCAAGTTACAAGTCCAGTGCCACCTACACCATCTCCGATCTTTGCCTCCAGCCCTGACTCCTCTCTGCAGTCCGTGTCCCTCCTCTGCCTGGGGCACGCGGGGAGAAAAGAAGAGAGGCCCACGGGGTGTGCATCAGTTCCCCCACTCTGCTGGCGGGCCTCTGCCCTCACATGCATTTCTTATTGCAGGAAGGTGAACAAGTGCTACAGGGGCCGCTCCTGCCCCATCATTGTGCACTGCAGGTGCGTGGAGGGGGGCTGGGCTGGAGCCTGGGGGCAGGGATGGAAGGGGACAGACAGCCTGACCAGAGGCTCTGCATGGGGCATTCCTGGTTCCTGCCCTCTCTCTGTCCCCTTCCCCAGATACCTTCCACGCACACTGCCTGCCAGTCCCCTTGATGCCGGCCACTTACAGCCCACGGCCCATGTCCAGCCTACTGTCTGCTTTTGATTAGCCCATGAACTAAGCATGATATTCACATTCTTAAATGGTAGAAAGAAAACAATGAAAGAAGATGGTGTGACAGGGACTCTGTGTGGTCCCCAAATTGAAAATACTACCTGGCCATTTACACAAAAAATCGGCCAATGAGAATCCTGGCCAGAGGCTAGAAAGGGCCACTGCCGTCCCTTCCAAGGCCTCCGCCTCAGGGCTGAGCAGGGCTCTTTCGTTTGGCACATGACCCAAGGGACACCACCAGCCTGTGGGTCACAGGCTTCTGCCACTCCAGACCAGGTTCCCAGGGCCCGGGTGCCGTGACCAGCCCCTCACCCTCGTCTCACTCACACCCACCCCAGTGGCTCCACCAGCCTCCCCCGCCACACTTGCATGTCTCTGCACCGCCCCTGCTTTCTGCTGGGTCCCCAGCTGAGCCTGTCACCATCTCCCGTTGCAGCGATGGTGCAGGGAGAACTGGCACCTACATCCTCATTGACATGGTACTGAACCGTATGGCGAAAGGTGAGGACCTGCCCGCAGTGCCTGAAGCCCACGCCAGCACCCAAGGTTGTGGGGGCTCATGTGGAGGCAGACTGCCACCCCCCCTCAAGCTTCCTCGATCCTCCAAGCCTCCCACATCCAGATGCCTCAGGCTTTCTGGGTTCTAACTGCTGGCTTCCCCTGGCCTGTCCCTTCTAGGAGTAAAGGAGATTGACATCGCTGCCACACTGGAGCATGTCCGGGATCAGCGGCCTGGCCTCGTGCGTTCCAAGGTGACTGTTCCTCCCTGCCTGACCCTACCTGCCACCCTCCCCTAGCACCCACTTCTCCAGCACCCTGGGGAAGCCAGCAGCAGGCGTCCCCTCAACTGGCCTCTATCCCAACCCCTGTGCCTTCCCCAAGAGGACTCCCGGCTCCCCCTGCCAGGGGCCTCCTCTGACCCTTCTCTCACCGCCCTTCCCCAGGACCAGTTTGAATTTGCTCTGACAGCTGTGGCAGAGGAGGTGAACGCCATCCTCAAGGCCCTGCCCCAGTGAGACCCTGGGGACCCTGCGGGCAGCCCAGCCTCTGCCCCCTCTTTGCCTGTGTGAGCATCTATCTGTGTGCCATCCCAAAGCCCACACCCTACCCGTCACCTTGGCCCCTCTTGGGAAAGCCCAGCCCTCCAGGAGCACTGTGTAAGGAAGGGGAAGCTGGAGGCCAGGCCGCCCAGCCTCGAGGGTGCATGCTGGAGCCCAGGGCACCCCAGGGGGAGCTGGCAGCTAGCCAGGAGAGAGGAAAATCAATTCCACCCAGAGCCTTCTCCTGCCTGAGTTTCCTGGCCCCCATCTCCCGCCATCTGGATGCTCCTGACATGTCTGTGTGGACCCCCTGCCCCGCCACCCTCCAGTGTGGACAGAGTAGGTTGGAGGGACCGCTATACCCAGCTCCCCCTGCTTTTCCAGCCCCTGCTGCCTGCCCTCATGCCTCTGAGACCCATACTCCACCCAGCCCTTCCTGCTGGCCTCCTCCCTCCGCCCTCACACCATGTGCTACTCCACTCCCTCTCTCTGGTCCAAGATAACATTTCTAGAAAAATCTACTTTTGTATCGATGTGAATAAAGTTAGTGTGTTGTGTGTGCAACTGCAGCCTAGACTCCTGTGCATCTATCTGCCCGGCTTCCAGACACCAGTTCTATGCAGCAGCCTGCGCTGCTGGGCATCTCTGGAGTTGCCAGGGCCCACAGCAGAGCCTGGGCATTAGCAGAGCTGGCTCTCCCAGCCTGAGTGATAGCAGATAGCAATGAGCAGTATTTTTTATGCTTTTCCCATGTGGCCGCCAGTCTCCAATGGCTTTATAGACATTAACTTATTGAGTGTTTGCAGAGCTTCCAATTTATTAGCCCCACTTGACATCCGGCTGCGACACAGAGCTTGCCCAAAGTCACATTTCCCATGAGTGATGGATTCACACCCAGGCATGCCTGACTGCTTGGCTGGTTCTGCTCTCAATGCTTCATGAACTTCAGCCTTAGGAATAATGTTCCTCTGAAGATAGGCCTGAAGGAGGTGGTACAGGCAAAGTGCCTTCCATGCCTTAAGCAAAACTTCTGGAGTCTGACTTGCTGTGTGGGTTGTAGAACAGACCTTCACCTGGGGCAAGGGCACTTTCTCCCTTTCTCTCCCATCTGCCAGCCCCCGGAAGGCTTCCAGAACCATCCATTCCATGTGGGCCCAGGAGACCTCACCTGCATTTCACAACAGGCCCTTGGACAAAGATGGTAGACACAGAAATGAGGCAAAAAGAACCTTTGGTCTGGGGCTGCTTGGGATAGGGCCACTTGATTTTACCCGGTCTCCATAAATGAGAATGACTAGGATGAGCAGTGCTCTGCCCCACCAGCCACATCCCAGCCGCGCAGGGAGTGAAGGGCCCCTGCAGCCCGCAGGCCCTCCTGCTCAACTCCAGCTCATCTCAAGGTCCAAGTGGGCCAAACAGCCATTTTACAAACTTCCAACAGATTCTCTTGAGTTGGAGGCTTGAGATTCCTCTTTCAGGAGACACTGCCCTTTGCTTTGAGAAAAATGGCATATGGGCCCTGTGGTCTTAAAGAAGCCACGCTCTGGAATGGAAGCATTATGGGGAGCGGTGCTGCCCTGACCGACGAAGCTAAGGTGCTTGCCCGTGGTTGCCGGGTCTCTCTGCACATGTCTGGAGATAGAGGGGGAACCCAGCTGGGGCGAACCTCCCTCCACGCAGGAAAGGCAGCGTCGCCATCATACCTCAAGAGCGGCTCAGTCTGGGCTGAGGGAGGACGTTTCACAGGTTTTCACCAAGTCACCTGCCCTGCCGGTCCCCAGGCTTTCAGGCACGTCTGAACTTGGCCTGGCCCTCCAGCTGGGCTGCCGAGTGTCGGTGGGCATGCGGCTGCAGGAATGAGTTCCCGCCACGTAGGAGGTAACTGGAGTCCAAAGAAGGCAGCAGGCACACCCACTAGTCTCAAAGTTTATTCAGGATAACTCGCGCAGGCGGTCTCAGCACGGAGCCAGCGGCCAGGGCTTTGGGTCAAGGCGGGATCCACACACCCACCCTGACAGGCCACACACCCTGCCGAGGCCATGCGATCTTCCTTGTGTGAGGCTAGTGACAACAGAGGTCCAGGGGGTCGTGTCGCGTGCGTCTTTGTTCTAAGATGAACAGGCTGTGTGGGGGTCATGGGGACGGGTGCGCACACAAAAGAAACAGTGGGGAGACTGGCCACCTCCCCGGGGCGGGGTATAGCTATTGGTCAAGGGCCCAAGATGGCATCAAAACAAGATGGAGTCACTTTGGTTTTCCTAGAGCAGTGCGTCCCCGAGTAAGAGGAGCAGAGGCTGCTTGGGGAAAGCCAGGTGTGGGGTCCCCAGAAGTTAGAGCAGAAGGACGTGAGCAGGCCTCAGGGTTCCGTAACTCGCTGGAGGACACAGTCTGGGAAATGGGACTGTGCTGTCAGCTGGGAAGAAGTCTGCCGCCTCCAGCTAGAGTCTGGGCCAGAAAGGGAGGTGTGTCACCCACTGGTCCCATGGGGTGCCTCCTGGGCCGCCCTGAGAAGGGAGGACACAGAAACACAGCACACCCCGAGCTCTCAAAACTCAAGTTTTATTGACTTCCAGTGTTCCCCTCTCTTCTGAGCTCAGCCCAAAGCCAAGCTGGCTATGATAAGTCTCTGAGAATCAATGTCACCAGGGCTGGCCACACCCCGGCTCCACCACTCCCCTCCCTGGCCACTGTGCTCCCCGGGCAGGGAGGAGGCGAGGCAGCTCATCCGTGGTGTTAGAGAGAGAGAACGGCCAACAGGGTCAGAGGCCAAGAAAGCCATACAAACAGCAACATGCCCGGAGCTCCCTTCACATGTCAATTGTGGCCCCACACACTGGGTGTGGCCCGCCCTCCCCAGCTCTCTGCCAGCCCATGCCTATCAGCCTTCGGAGGCTAGTGTGCCCTGCGTAGCGGATCTGCCCTGGCTGCCTCCCCCAGATGGCACTGGGATTTGATTTGCACTCTCTAATCCAGCACTAGCAATAGGTGTCAGGGAGGCCGAAGCTCAGACCATTACCCCTTCATCCACATTATCGACACCCCTACCAGAGACAAATCAAATGACAAGATGTCCCCATCTCACAGCAAGCAACAGGCCCACCTGGGCTGGAACTACACGTCCCAAGATGCACAGCTCCATAACCATGCACTGCTTCCCCAAGCATGATCTACCAGAAAGGAGGCAGGGTGCACTGCATTCTGGGACCTGCAGTCTCCAAGGGACAGCACCAAACACCCAGGGAAGAATTTACAGGCTGAGACTACAGACCCACCCCCACCCACCACCCAGGCCCAGCTCTACGCTCTGCACGGGTGAAGGAGAGAAATGAGGGTCCCCTCCCAGCACGCGGGGGAGGGCGCTGTCCTGTTGGAGCTGTGCAGCAACTCTGGATTCCGGACATTCAGCTCAGAACACATCTGGGGAGAGAGCAGGGGTGGGGTGACAGGAGAGAGGGTCAGCAGCAAGCCGTGGAGGCTGGAGCCAAGCATGCAGTCCTGGGCTAGCCCTGTGGCCTCTCCCTGAGCCCTGATGCATGGTGAGGTAGGATCCTCGGCCGGTCCCCACCTAGGCCTCCCTCCTGGGTCACCCTAGCCCTATCCCACCTCTCCAGGGTTAACAGGCCTCACCTCTGCCTAGTCCCGAGGCCTGGGGCAGGCTGAGGCAGCAAGAGGGAGGAAGAGTGGGCTCCGGTTCCGAATCTGGATGGCTGAGAGGCTCCCGCCCCACCCAGCTAGCCTCCCGGGAAGACCCTACAGGCCTCAGCATCTTCCTCTCCACACTGAGGCCTTCTCAGGGAAGGAAGAAGGGAGTCCTAGCCAGACAGCAGTGAAAGCAAGCGATGCAGCCTGCAGGGAATTGCTGAGAACAGTGCGAGGAAGGAGAAGCAGCACCAGAGGGAAGCAACAGAGATGGTCAGAGCTCAACGCGCACAGAAACCAGGGTAGGATGTCAGCAGCTGGACAAGGAGTCTCCCCACTGTAGCTGCTGACTCAGCTCAGGCTCAGAGAACCCCAGGTCAAGTCCTCCTTCCTTGACATTATCAGCAACACAGGTGGCAAATGACCAGGGTACAGAGGCTTACCCCAAACCACCAGTGCCCCCTAGAGACTCCCCATCTAGGAAGAATAAGTGCATTCTGGCTCCTGATGCCCTCCCCCTGCCCTGAGGCCCCCACCCTGGGATTCACCAGGCACCTATCAGCTGTGGGTGGAGCACAGCAAATCCCGAGTCCTCGCTGGAGTGCCGGTGGGCCTGGGCACCCACGGAGGGAGCGTGGCACTGAGCCGGCTCCTGCAACTCAGGCCATGCTCCTATCTGCTCTCCTGCCAGGAGTCAGACTGGGCCTGGGCATCACAGGATGAGGCAGCGAGAGGTCTTCTCTTCTGGGGGTGGGCTGGGTCTGGCTGCCTCACCCCTAGTACCCTCGTGGGTGCCCCCCACACTCGGATCTTGGTACAGGGCCTTGGGCTTGCCCTGCTGCCGTTGCTGTGCCCCCCGCCCACCTGCCGGTTTCTTCCCAGCCGCCTCCATCTCTGACAGGCTGTAGGCCATGGCGAGCTGTAGATCCTCATCATCAGACAGGTCGCTGTCAGAAGGGCGTGTGGCAAGGGTCTGACGGACCTGCGTGCTCCCGGGCCTGGAGGTGACTGACGGTTGCTGCTCACGACGGCTCAGCTCCAAGCCCAGTGCCAGGTCGTCTGGGACACCTGCAGGAGTCAGGGCTGTCATGAGGCCCTCCGACCCAGGCCAGCTGCCTGCCAGGCTGCTGTGGGCAGCAAAGAGTCCCTGCAAGGACAGCTTACAGCCCCTCCTGAGGAGGGGGCACATGCATTTCTGGCACCCAAGCTGAGGCTGTGAGCATGAGCAGGTATTCAGCCCCCTGGGACATGCTGTCTTCATAGTTAAGCTACTCAACCTCCCTCAGCCCTCTTGCCTCATCTATAAAATGGGAATGATGTCAAATTGCCCACTGGCTAAGTAAGAGAGAGCCCATGAAAAGCAGGGCACACATCTGTTTCTAGCATCACACAAGGGTGTTACGGCCATGTCCTGGGGAGGGCGGGCAGAATCCTGGAATCCTGGAATCCTGCACCCAAGTCTCATTCCTGGCTGTGCCCCTTACTAAGTATCCAAGAGCCTTGGGCCTGCGACTCCATGGGAGTTAGGGTCATTTAGCCATGCCAAGGCTCTGTCCCCTCAAATGAAAACTAGGGCACAGTCCTCTGCCAGCTTTTGCCCTGGAATGAAGCGGAGATGGGTGAGTGCTTTAGGAACAGTGAAGTGCTCTGCAAACACCGGGCCTCCAAGTGATGATGGTGATTCGACAGCCCTCTGAGACGCCTGGATTCCTTGTCTTGGCCCCTCCCTGGGGAATCTCTGATCCACCTGGTATGGTCCGTGGCCACCAATCCCTACCCACTCCGAGGGAACACAGGGAGGAGCAGTTGGGGGAGTGGGTTTTCGGGGCTTCCTGCCAAGGACAGGGTGGGAGAGCCGCTCCTCACCGTTGATTGTGACCGACTTGAGCTGCCCGTCCTCCTCCACTTCCACCCGTTCCTGCCCGTTCTCCATGATCCTGCGGGAGACAGCAGGGGCCGCTCAGGGAGCACTGGTGTGGCCCAGGCTCTGGACACTGCAGTGACAGGGCAGACCGGGCTCTGCAGCGGTGGAGGAGCTGATCTAGTGTGGGCAGCTCCCTCTCCACCCCTCATCCCCAGGCCCCTCCGCCCTTACCTTCGTGTTGTAATGCGGTGCCCTTGAACAAAGGTGGTGGACGTGGAAACAGAACGAAAAGCACCAGCCCCAGGGCTGAAGGAGAAAGACGAGGAGGAGAAATCTGGTGCCAGGACAAAGGAGGAGAGGTCGTTAGAGGAAGACCCCAAGCGGCACATGGATGGGGAACCTCTGTGGGGTCTCCCTGAAGAGCTGCCAGAGGCAGGGCTCCAGATATGCAGCTGAGAAGGCAAGGCCCTGAGGGACCAGGCCTTGAGGGGTGAGCTTCCAGGACTCAGGACTTGCAAAAGTGGGAAGACAGCACTTACCAGAGTGCCCGGGGAAGGAGGAAGCGAAGGTGAAGAAAGGCCTGTGTCCCGACGACACCCGGTTCTGCAGCCCCGAGAACTGACCCAGGTCATCTGCAACAAGTAAGGAGATTAACAATTACCTCATGGAAAGGTTTTCATCTGTAAATGGGAATACAAGTATCCGCCTTGCAGAATTCATTAGAGGGTGAGGAGAGGTAAGACACGTGGCACACATTAATCATCCCCCAAAATGGCAATTGTTGTTTGTGGTGTCTTTCCCATTGTCCCATGATGCTCTGGGTCTGGCTTCCCAGCCTGTCCCTGTGGAGGTCTAACAATGTATTATTGTTGCCACCACTTATTGAAGCGAGTCTCTGAAGCAGCACTGTGGTCACGGGGATTCTGGCCTGTGTGAGGTTCTGTCTCAGCTGTCACTGGATCCAACCTCACAAAATCTGTCTGTGGGATTCTGCTTCCTGCTCAGCCTCCACAGGTTCTCCCAGTTGATAAGGACCCACCTGGAGGGGAGGTCAAGCTAGTGAGAGGCTTTCTGAGTCCACTCACCAAAGAGCTCTGCAAAAGGGTCTCCACTCCCAAAGAACTCCTGGAAGACCTCCTCGGGGCTGCGGAAGCTGAAGGTGAAGCCGGACCCACCGCCACCAACATCCGTTCGAGATGGGCCAGTTCCTGGAAGAGAGGCAGGAGGATGAGTGGGCTGAGGGTGTGCAACGTGCCCTGAGCCAGGGGATGCCAAGCAGGTGTAGCCAGGAGCCCAAGGAGAGCATCCTTCTCAAGAATCCTTCCCCTCTCCCTTCTGACCCACTTCCATTCCTGGGCCCTATGGTGTCACCTACCTGCCCCAGTCAGCCCTTCCCGTCCATAGCGGTCGTAGATCTCCCGCTTATGCTCTGGAAAGAGAGACCAGATCATTTCTCCCTCCCTCAGGGATGACCCTTCGAGCCTAGGCCTCTCAGAAGACTGGCCAAAGAATGACAGTTGAGGGGCAGCAGAGAGCACAGGGGACACGGGTTACAGGTTTCAGCAGCAGCTCGGCCTTCAGGCTCCTTCTTATTCCTTCAGTGGGCACAATAACAGCACCTAGCTCACAGGCTTGTACAAGCAGCAAATGACCCACACAGACTGCCTAGCACAGTGCCTGACACACAGCAAATGTTCAATAAATGCTACCTAACTAATACTGCGTTACTATTAATCAGGACTTAGCCTAAATGTCACCTCCTTAGAGAGGTCTTCTGTGACATCTTGACAAAAATCAGTGTTGATTATCCCCTGTCACATCACCTGGCCACTTTCTTCTGGAATACTCTTCACATAATCCTGAACGTGTATTTACTCGGTTAATGTCAGTCTTTCCTGACCAGGATCTGATAAAGCCATCAGAATGAGGACAATGCCTGCTTGTCCTCCATTGTTTCCCAGTGGCCAACAGGGACCTGTCACCATAAGCGATCAGTGCCTATATTGAATGAACGAGTAAATAAATGAATGAATGAAAGACAAAACTGAATGCATATTCCAGTTCTGAGTGGCCTTGAGCAAGTTATTTCATTTCTCTCAGCCTCAGTGTCCTTGCCTGTAAAAGGAGGTTGATAAATCCTGCCTTGCAAGATGGCTGTGAGGACCCAAGGAGATTAACCCACCAAGGCCTGGCACAGAAGAGGCTCGGCACACAGGTTACCTGCGCAGCATCCTTCCCCTTGGCAGGACTCATGCTGTAAATGCCAGATCCTGGGGAACAGAAACTGAGCGCAGTGCATTAAGGGAAGAATAGGAGTGCTTTGTATGTAGTAGGCACTCATTTAAATTGGGGCAGAAAAGAAAAAAAGTCCCAGAGCCCCTGTGGGAGTTTTAAATGTCAGGTTGGAAAAAGGCACAGAGGAGGCTAGGGTGGCAGCAGTGTGGCTTCGGGAAGAAATGCTATGGGGCATGAAGTGGGGGTGACATGTTGAGCCCAGGGCCTGACCCTAGCCCTTACTGTCGGACAGCACTTCATATGCCTCAGCCACCTCCTTGAACTTCCTCTCGGCAAATTCTTTATTATCCGGGTTCTTGTCTGGGTGCCACTGTAGAGCCTTCCGCCGATACCTGCAGGAAGTGTGTTCAGAGGAGGGTCAGAGGCTCCTTCTGAGGGAACAGGATGACCCATTTTCCCACTAACCCACCGGTGCCTCTCACCTCTCTGACTCCTGTCCACCCCAGTTGCTAAGTCAGCCTCTGCTGCCATGTTTTAATACAGTCCTCCTGTCCCCTCTGCAGCCAGTGCTGGGACTACATGTATTAGCAGATGGTAATGTGACAGTCACAAAGCCTGGTCCTAACTTCTCCCTGGGGCTGGGGTGGGGGGCGCTGCAGTGCTTGAGGGTACATGTGGCCGTGAAGGGAATAGGGACACTACTCCATCCAGACCACCGTGCAGGAGCAGCTTTGCCATGCATCCTGCGAAAGCCACACCTCAGGGCTGAGGTTGGGGAGGTCCAGGAGGGGACAGGAGAGTCCACTGGAAAGGGACTCCAATGCAGCTCTCAGCAGAACTTCACTCTACAGACTTTCTCCTTCTACTCTTCCAGGACAGGTGTCATCTCTGGAGAGACCCCCAATTTAAGGACCTGGTTCCCCTGCCCAGCTTCTGCAAGGCCCCCCCCCGGGGTGGGGGAGAGGGAGAGGAGAGACTTTCTGATGCAGCAGAGGCACTTACGCCTTCTTGATATCATCAGCGGACGCACTTCGGGGCACGTCTAGGATCTCGTAGTAGGATGCCATAGCAACTCGTCAGTGCTGGGTCTCCTAGGGGCTGCAGGAGAGAAGGAATCAGCCAGAAAGAACCAAGAATCCCTTCCCGGGGCTGGACACCCCCCACCCCCAACAGCGGCAGGAGGCTCTCCCAGGCCGAGGCCGACCCATTGGGCTCAGCTGGGGGCCGGTGACGAGGCTCCCTCGGGCGGTCTTATCGGCCCCAGCAGACCGGTGCCACGGGCTATCTCGCCTTCCAGGCCCAGAGCCCTATCCGGGTCCCCTAACTCCAGCAGCCGGCCCGAGGCCCCCTAACCTGCCCAGGGGTCCGCCTCCCGCACCTCCTCCGCCCGGAGTCCCTGGCTCCAGCCGCGCCCCGCCCCGGCCCCCCGCGGGGAACCGTCTGGCACCGGCTGCGGGCTCGCGGTTGCTGCGCAGGACGCGGTCGGCCCGGCGGTGCGCGCGCAAGCGTGCGTCAGCGGCGCGGAAACTACTAGAGGCCCAGAGGAGGCCGGTTCGGCCTGTCACTCGGGGGGGGAGGGGGTTTTGGGGGGGCGGTGTCGCTGCAGGGACTGCCGGGAGATCGGGGCGGGGCCGGCTATTTCGGGCTTGCACCAGGACGACGTCACCCCGGCAGGGAACCGGGGCGACCGGGTGGCTCCGGCCAGGCGTGACGCACTCGCCAACAAGCGAGCTGTCGGCCCCCGGCAGCTCTGTAGCTTTCCTATAAACACGCCCCAATATGGATGATTACTCACCCCGGAGGAAATCATTACCTCGAGCCCTCGCAGACTCCTCTGATCCCAGCTGCAGCCCCTGGGTGCCCCGGAGGGCTGCCCTGCTTCCCTGAGTAGGTACCATCCGCCTCACCTGGCCACCTGGCGTCTCCTGGCAGCCCCATCTCACGTGATGGAGCTACAGATTAGCATTTAATGTGTTTGTTTGACATTCATCGCCTCCCCGCCCCACCAGAATGTCAGTTCACATAGTAGATTGTGTCTAGAGTATTAGGCAGTCGTGGGGTTCAAAATATGCACATAACGAATCCCCGCACAACGGTAAGAAAAGATAAATACCCCATAAAAATAGGCCCTCCACAAAAGAAACTATGTGAATGGTCAGTGGCACATGAAAAAGTGCTCCACATCATTAGACACCAGGGGAGTGTAAATTAAGCTACAATGAGATACTCCCACTAGGAGGGCTAAAATTAGAAACCGTGATAATATCAAGTGTTAGGATGTGGGACAACTAGATCTTTCACATATTGTTGAAGAGAGTATAAAATGGTCAAAATCACCTTGAAAAAAAGTGGTTTGGCAGTCTCTAATAAATTTAAACATTGACCTACCTTTAAAATAAAAGTATTCATAAGCATTGGATGATTAATATTGAATAGAAGGACTCCTTGTTTACAGTTTTGACACTTTGGGGGATAGTAGGGATAAAGAGTAGGGGGACGAAAAAAAATGCCCTAGATTCAAGGTGTTTCTTCCCAAACTGATCCTGCGTAGATCTATTTCACCTTAAAAGGATTCCGGGGTTCAAAGGGACCTTAGAGAACCTTCCAGGATTGGCTCCTGCTTGATATCATCCAGGCCAATCCACAAGCATTAACTGAGCATCTACTTACTAGATGATGCCAGGATATATAGAGAATATGGCCCAGATCCTGTCCTCACAGAATATGGCCCAGATCCTGTCCTCACAGAGTTCCAACTTGAGAAAATGGCAGCTCATAACACTAGCCTACTGGGAAACTCCAAGGCAATGGAAACAAGCCTAGGTTTACAACTTGGCGCTACCTTGTAGCTTGGGAGTTTTCTGAGGGTTCAAGGTTTTTTTAACCCCTAAATACAAGTAAGGCCTAAGGCTATTTGAGAGTTGAATTAGGAATGACACATAGTAGGTATTTGTATAGATCTCTCTGGCGTCATTATTGGCCCAAGCAGTAATGGTTAGGTGAGTCCTGAAGAGCGTTTTAGGCTGGGTGACCCAGAAACGCCTCACCAAAGAGAAGATCTTGAGCCAGACATGAAAGAAGAGGGTGGTGTGCATTTGTAAGGCTTTCCTGGCTGATCACAGTTGGAGCCTGGGGCCTACATTTGGGGAATTCCTATTGCGTAGGACTTGGTGGGAGACAGGTCACCACCTGCCACAGAGCCCCAACACTTTCTCTCCCAGACTTTTTGGCTCCAAGGGTGCAGACAAAAGACATAAGCTCTGCCAAATTGGAAGCTCTAACTGGGACTTGGATCTGGAGCAAGTCACAGAAAACCAGGGGCAGTTAATGCATTTCTGTGGTGTGGTGGCTGTGGAGCCAGCAGCGGCCTCTTGTGTCTGAAGGAGGAAGTGTCGGCCTCAGTGCCTGGGAGGGAGGGGGCCTCACTGCAGTGGGTGAAGGGAGAGGGTCTTTGAGACAGACTGTCCTGTACCCTGACCTTGACTTTGGTGCTGGCCCTCTGTTTCCCTTGGTGCCCACCTGTTTTTGAGCCTTATCAACCCTCTCATCAATTCTGTGCGCTACTCAAATCTCTCCAATTTGGGACAGGCGAGAGGGTATTTTTTTTCCTTATTTTTTTTTACTTGCCAGAGCTAATTTTTGCTGTTTACAATAAGAGTCCTGACTGGCTTTGGTATAAGAGGAAGGATTAGGTTATTAGTTCTCTCCAAACTCTTCCAAATCTCTCTTCTTACTTCTGTTATTTCAACATTTGTCTAAGAGGTACCAGCTATGTGCTACTATATTAAGACTAGGGATATAAAGAGATTTAAGTTCTAGTCCCTGTATTCAAGGAAATGGAAATCTAGTTGGGACATTGACAGCTGAGGAAATTATAAGGCATACACCTAACAGACAAAGGGTTAATTTCCTTTATTCACAAAAATTCCAACAAATTAATAAGACAATGCAATTTTGAGTGGATAAGGAGTTCCAGGAGAGAAAATACTGGCTTTCAAACAGATGCAAAAATGCTTAATTGCATTCATAACAGAATTACAAAGGAAAGTGGCAACAAAACACTCTGTCTTATCTGATGATTGACAAGGAGCAAAAAGTTTAATATGTTGTATGGGCAAGGCCTGGGGTTTAGGCATTCTAGTATGTTGGCAATGGATGTGTAATTTGGTATAATTCTAAAAAGAACAATATGGGCCTACCAAAATTGAAGGCCCACAGCCTTTGACCTAGTAATTCCAATTCTAAGAATTTATAGCAGCCTATTACATAGTTTACTGGAAAAGACGAAGGCTTTGGAAATAGGCCTGGGTTTGCAACCTGGCACTTCCATGTGACTTGGGTTGTATGTATGTGCAAAGAAGTGTGTATAAGAGTTACAGCATTTGGCCTCCCCTGGTGGCGCAGGTGGCTGAGTGCTGCGCTGTGAAGCTGTCCGCAGCCTCTGTAGCAGCAGTTCAATCCCGGCCGGCCGGTGAGGGTCCCACATGGTGCGGCAGACCTCTCCTGTCTCGCCCGCTTCTCCCCTCAGCAGTGTATTTCGTCTGCCTGTTCTGTTCCCCACCCTGTCTCCAATGAATCCTCTCACCCTCATGTGCATCTGGCCTGCACGGTGCTTGTATAAAATAAATAAATAAATCTTAAAAAAAAAAAAAAAGAGTTACAGCATGCTGTTGCCAAATTTCTTTGATACCTTTTGAATTCTGAAGCTTGTGCATGGAATAACTGTTCAAATACACACATTGGGCCTCCCCGGTGGCGCAGTGCTTGAGCGCTGGGTTCCGAAGCTGCCCGCAGCCTCTGCGGTGCCGGTTCGATCCCCGGCTGCTCCCCGGCCACCAGAGGAGGGTCCCACATGGCGCGCAGACCTCTCCTGCCGCCTGCTGCTCCCCTCAGCAGTGTATTTCGGTCCTTCTGCCTGCTCTGCTCCCCGCTCTGGCTCTGGTGAATTCTCTCACCCTCCCGCGCTTCTGACTGTACCCAGTGCATGTATAAACAAACAAACAAACAAATAAATAAATAAAACATGCCTCTATAAAAATAAATAAATAAATAAAATAAAGTAAGAAATTAAAAAAAAAATACACACATTATTTTGAGGAATCAAATTGGAGAAATAGGATATGGGCAAGAAACCTGGTGCTACCTACCATACGAGGCAGTCCATGCCAAAGGCCCAGAGAGTGTTAGAGACACAGTAGTTGCTGAGAAAATCTAGAGGAGGGAGAGCTCCCCAGGGCTGGATGGGTTCTAGGTGACGGTGACATGGACTGGAAGGAATGGCATCTTTGACACAGGCAGGGGGTGGTGACAGTCCCCAAGGGACAGGGTTTGTGAGGCAGGTATGCTCCTACCGCAACAGAGGGGAGGGAACAAGTGTTTTGGGTATAATCCAAAGTTGGCAACTTGTCTCTTGTGTCTGCCTGCAGGAGGTAATTTTCCCCTGGCTTTAGAAGCATCGGGGATGAAAGCATTTGCCTGTATAAATGGAGTCCCAAGGAGTGGGGCTTGGTGGCACTCCCAGCTGCCCAATGTAGGTCTGGGACACCACCTCCCCCGGCCTGCCATGGTCACCAGCAGAGTTACTAGCTGGGGGACCTCCTGGGATCTGAGAACAAATGGTCTTATTGCCAACTTGGGTGGGTTGTTTGGGACAACCCAGAGAAAGGAGAGGCTGACCAACCATCCTGCAAGTAAAGATCTCACCTCCTTCATCACCCAGTCTCATGGTCTCTCCCATGATGTGGGGGGTGGGGACGGTCTTTCCAGAGGACACTGGCAGCCCCAAGTCCAGTCCCCAAAGGTCCCTCTGCCTTCATTTAGCCCCAGAAGCTGGGTCCCTGCCCCCTCACATGGCCTCTACCACAGCGCTTGGGCGGGGGAGTGTCAAGCGTCACCCCCTCCCTGCCTTGGAGGCCCATGAGTCACTGTCTGGGTATTGAGCATCTAGCAGGCCCAGAAGGAGTGGCATCTGGAGGGGCACCTGGAGCTGCTGTGGGCATGAGTGGAACAGCACCCATGGAAGGAGAGGGCAGCATAAGCTTTGGTCTAGGCCAACCTGGGTTTTAATCTTGACCCCTTTGTTTACTAGCTGGGTCACCTTGGCAAATCATGTAACTTCTCTGTGTTTCAGTCTCCACTGCTATAAACTAATCATTCACTCAACAACACATAGTGAGTGCCTCCTATGTGTCAGGGAATGTTCTGGGGACTTAGAGAAGAGGCCTTATTTCTGCAGAACTTCCAGCCCAGTGGAATACAATGACTGTATCTACCTCCAGATTAAACAAGATAATATGGGTGCAAGGTCAAGAACTAGTGGGTGCTCAGTAAATGACAGTGATTTCTTGGGGGTTTCCAAAGCTCCCCAAGCAATTACTTTCCTTTCCCAAATTTGAAACCACTTGGGAGAGAGGAAGTCTCAAGAGTTGATAGAGAAAG